TGACCAATATTTTTTGTCACTTATCCTTGATTCACTGTGCAAGCTGCCAAAAATATTTAATATAATCCCATAAAAACAATGAGATCCCACTTTCCTCATATAGAGGAAAGATAAATGGTGTCTCTTGGAGCTGAACTGGTCCCAAGGTGACAGAATCGAGGCAGTCATCTCTGTTGGGCTCTAGTCCAGTTCCTGAGCAAGGCGTGCCCGCAATACTCCCGGACACTGTTGATGCTGCACAGCCAGCCTGGCTCATTGGCAGGACTTGCAAGGGCAGTCCGGGGGGGGCAGGGTGTCATCCAACCCGGCTTGTTAACCCTGCAAGCCAAAGCCATAGTCCTAACGGGTAGGGTGGCCCTAGCTGGACAGCAGCAGGAAAGCTTCCCAAGTTGTAACTTCAATAGCAAGATATGCATTTTTAGCTGGTTAGACTCCAGCAGTTTCCCAATGCATACTCTCTGTCCCCAAGCCTTTTTTTTAACCATCCTGCGCCTGATATTCTGTGGGATTATGGAAGGAAGGTTGCGCCTTCTAGGGAGAGAGCGTGCACATTCCATTCCAGCAAATATCTCTCTAATTTTCATGTGCAGGTGCGGTGCATGGAATTTTGTTTGGTTTGGATACTCTTGAAAACTCAAGAAAATATTAACTAATCTATTCCTGTCTAATTTCCTGGGTCGAGGAGCATTATCCTTAATAGATGAGGGATCTTGAAGCTGGGGAATGGTACATTTTTCTACTGCATGAGTTTCATTCATGTACAGTTGGAAAATGCTTAACATTATTTAGATGTAGAGCAAAGCTCTGATATTGCTCCACCAGAATGACTGAAGTTTATTGTTGGAAAAGTACTCTGTATTAGTCCTGAATATGTCCATCCTTGTGAACTCATTGGAGTAGACTGCCAATTGTTGATGAATTATGAATAGTGTAGTTATGCCAATCAGAGTGGGTTGAGATTTTTCACCCACAGAATTTGGACCCTGTAGCTGAATTACTAAAATCTCAGGTGCTAAAGTGAAAGGACGACTCACCCAGGCCTTGAATTATAATGTTCCTCTTTTGCACAATAGAATGGTTAATCTTTAATAACAATAATAATCCTTGCATTTGATATAGCACTTTTCACGTCGGGAGGACGTCCCAAAGCGCTTCACAGAACACACTGTAAAGTCAATTGACTGTATATTTGTGGGCGAACGCGGCAGCCAATTGCGCACAGCAATGTCCCACAAACAGTCGTGGATTGAAAATGACCAATTTATTAATGTTTTTTGTTTTGGAGGGATTATTATTAGGCTCTGTGTGGAGTAAGGAAACTTGCCCAAGGTTTCGCCCTCTGCCGGGAATTGAACTCAGATCTCTCGCTTGCAAAACGAGTGCTCTAACCACTGAGCTACAGGACTCCACGAAAGATGTTAATAAAAACTTCTAGTCGTTGGACAACAGAAAGTGATAAAGTTGGACATCTGGACATTGCAGTTACTGATAGTAACATAATAGACTCTGTTTAATTATTAAACCTTCCACATTTAGCAGGTTAATGTAAACATAATGAAGAGAATTAAGACTATAATCCCATTAATCAAACACATCTATTGCAGTACATATTTTAATTCCTAAAGAACCAGGAAATAGCCAATTGTTTGTTTTCAGTTTAGTTTTTCATACAAATCAGAAGATTCTTTACTGGAATGATGTCTTTAAAATCGTTTTTGCCTGTATTAAGCATTCTCTTTCTCCTCTCTTTCCCCCACCTCCCCTCAACACACACTTGACAAGGTTTTTGGATGAGTTAAAAGTGAACTGGTCCAGAAAACATAATTGAGGTCCACCTGGGTCAGTCTCAAAGGAAATAAAATACATCATCCCTAATTGATTTCTTCACCAAAGAGTTGTCTAATATCCTCTTGAATTTGCTGATCTTTATAATCAATCAGCTCTTTGCTGCACTTTTCCATCCAATCAAAAATAATATTGAAAATTGTAACATTGGTAGTTGTGCCACAGTTTATAATGTGTAGGTGAATAATTAGTAATTAGCAAGTGGAAACATTAGTAAATTCGATAACCATCTTTGACACAAACAAAGACTTTCAGCGCACTCCTACTGTTCTGTGTACGGTGAGAGGTCATTATGTTGCACAAGGCAGATTAAAATTTTAATCCCCTGGCACATTATCATTAAAATTATCAATATCCATTGGATAAATCACATCCATGGTGTTTGCTTTACATTACCAGCTGTTCAGGCAAGGTACAGATGCCTTATACTAATGCTTTCCCTGTATTTTGCTTGAGGCCTTTACAACACATTTGAGTATTTTGCCCACAACATACACCGTCAATCCACTTTACAGTATGTAATTGCAATGAAAACCTGGAAACTGTTCACGAGACGTTTACTTCACACCGCAAAAAGAGGAGAAAGCTGTGATCTTTGGAAGAGACAACCGCCAACCATGGTAACATTCGTATAGGAACGAACGAAAGGTCAAATAAAAACATTTTCCACAGAAAAATACTAAGTGGAGAAATAAATCCTGAAAATATTAACCAACTAGACTGAGTAGCCACATTTGTCACATTCATTCAAAGAAAATATTACCTGAATTTGTCCATTAGGCTATGAAGTGTAAGTATATCTGAGAATTGTGGTTCTTAGAAACTACGGTGCCTTGGGATGTCCTGACATGAAAGGCGCTATGCAAATATAATTTGTTCTTATGAAGTAGTGTGATGTAAAAATTACATTCATGATTAAATGTGGAGTCCTGTAGCTCGGTGGTTAGAGCACTCGCTTTGCAAGTGAGAGACCTGAGTTCAATTCCAGGCAGAGGGCGAAACCTTGGGCAAGTTTCCTTACTCCACACAGAGCCTAATAATAATCCCTCCAAAACCAAAACAATAATAAATTGGTCATTTTTAATCTACGACTGTTTGTGGGACATTGCTGTGCGCAATTAGCTGCCGCGTTCGCCCACAAATATACAGTCAATTCACTTTACAGTGTGTTCTGTGAAGCGCTTTGGGACGTCCTCCCGACGTGAAAAGCGCTATATCAAATGCAAGGATTATTATTATTATAAATTGGAAATACAACCAAATTCATAAAATATTGCAAACCCTGCTATAAATTGTTCCTGAAGCATTCAAATTATTACCAAGGTAGTTATTTGTACCTTACGTAATCTGTCCTGGCAAAACGTAGAAGTATATTTTTATGGGTGGGTGGGGAGGGGGTGGAGGAAATCTGTTACAACCTCTCACTTGAAACCTGGCTGGATGTCAACCCAACTAGAAATGTTTTGTTTCACTTGTATGTTGTTAGCCACCCATATCTCAAAGTCTTACAACCAAAAAGGTTGGCCACCACTGCCTTACAAGATATACAATCACTACACTTTACAGTGTAAAATGCTGTGCAGCTCATTGAAAGTTTTGATGCGTGATCAAATCCAAGTTTATTGTTAAAATAATATTTAAAAGTATTCTAGAATTTAACAACTTGTCTCCTTGGTATTTGTAGCCATTATTAATCCTTAGTGTGGCAGATGGGAGGAAATCCAGTTTTATCATTTGGTTGATTATTAAAGGAAAATGCAGTATCAAAAGTATCAAAGTTTGTAAGAAGTATTTTCACTGAGAGAAACAATACAATTTACTGATGGTGTCTCAAGTAAATCTGCAATTTTGTATAACTGATGGTGCAAAGCATATCTTCAGGAATTTAGTCTTAAAATATTCCAGAGATGTATAAAAATTAGTCTTTATATTTTCTAGATTTTCTAATTAACAGTAATGTAGGTAACAATTTTTAATTGCTAAATAATGTGATTTCTTTTTGTAGGAATTCTAAATCTGGCTCAATTTAGATGGCCTTCAAAATTCCTTTCAAACTCTGTCATTGGAACTCATTCTATCTACTTAAGCAGTATCACTGTAGAGGACAGTACAAAATAAAAGCATATTACATAGCTCTTAAATCCCCAATACAAAGGTTGATCAGAAGCACATGGACCTATAATTAATGTTTGGAACACAATAAAGCTCATCCCAAGTTCAGTGGAAGAGATGTTTGGAGCCAGTCTTAGTTTAGGGCTCCACGTTTCACTGTAGTTAAAACACAGCCAATTGAACGTTCTTAAAATGTGATTTTTGTCCCTAGCATTTTGGAGCAAGTTGCTATTTCCAGAGAGAGGTTTAGCCATTCTTTCAAAGATGTGTATTCAAATTTATTTTCATTTCAGTGAGTCACCCCAAATTTGCTAGTTAGTGATATTTTATTATTGTTGATTTGAGTGTCAATAGATAAAATTTCCTAGTGTAACAGTACTAATCCATTATATTATCCTTGGAATGTCCTCCCAAAGTGAAGGTGCTACACAAATGTAACTTGTTATTGTCGAGGGTATTATCTGATGCAGTAAAATGAGTTCTGTGTTCCTTTTGTAAGACTTGAGGTAAATTTCTGGATTCATTAGAATTGCAATTTGAATGAATTAGGCCATTTGTCTTAATAATACTGTTGGTGTCAAACTTGTATTTAGATTTCATTTAAGATTTCAACTAAATGCAAGTTGAAATGGGTCTTTGTTCCATTGCGTCAGTGCAGTTTGGATACTTAATGCAGCTTTGTATTTTCTTGGTGCGTATTCCAGCAGTGATAATTGTCCACTGTGTATGTACAGTTTGTATCCTGCCCATTTTTTATATTAATACAATTTCAGAATAATATTTTATAGTAATTGCGACCCACTGCAACTCTGGCTATGAAAATATGTGTTCATTGTTTATCAGTTCTACAGAATGTTTCATTCCATTCTACAACACTTGCTTTGATTCTAACCATTTTTAAATGTATTTTCAGCATCCTTTTGGATTGATGCTTTCTAACAGAATAATTTTGAAGAACATTGGTATGACCAATGTCCTTTTTGTTTTTATGGTGGATTGCACAAGGCTTTGTTTCTCACTCTCAAATTCTTTTTCTTTAATAGTGCAAAAGGAGGGAGACACAAACGTTGATTCTCTTTCTGCGGGCGAACGCTCCACTGGAGAACGGCATATCTTACCTAAGCCACCTCCTACCAGCCAGCAGGCCTCTAAACCACCAACTCCTGCTAATAAGCAACTTGGTTCCAAACGGCCTATTACAACAACTCAACAATCTCCTTCATCCAAACAGCCGTCTTCAACAAAGCAACTTTCAACCAAGCAGCCTGGGCCAGCAAACAAGCAGCTCACTTCTGCCACCCCCAGTGGTAAAAAATCTGCTGATAGACAATCTGTTCAGCTTTCAGCCCCTGGTGCAAAACCCTCCAGCCAGCCCTCGAATTCTCAGATCAGACACAATATCCGCCGTTCACTTAAGGAAATTCTTTGTAAAAGGTGAGAAAGCTTGATACTGGAATTGTAGGCAGCTGAATAGTCTAGTCTAGCTCAGAGTGTTCAGTCCACAACATCTACTTGTGTTTTTTTAAGGAAATTGCAATTCTAATGTGCTGATTTTTATTGAAGTTCCAATTTTTTGCACAGTCCTTTAAAAGCTATTAGGTTTTCTGATTGTACATGACATTATTTAGAAATTATGATTTAGAAATGCTGTCTTCAGAAATGAAAACAGCAAATAGAAGTGAAACAGTAAAACAAACTAAATTATGTTATGACAGTTTGTTTGGGGCAGGGGACATGAATATAAATATACTAAATCTCACTACACAAAACACATGTAAGTGATCCCACAATTACAATAGTTTAAGCTTTTGAAAAAAATATATTGAAGAGGTGTGAGTAGAAATATAGAAACAGGAGGAGGCCAAACAGCCCCTTGTGCCTTTTCCGCCATTCTATAAAATCATGGCTGATTTGTACTTCAAATCTAGTTACCTGCCCTTGCCCCATATCCCTAAATATCCTGACCTAACAAATATCTATTCCCCTCAGTCTTGAAGATGTGAATGGATCCAGCATCCACAGCTATTTGGGGGAGAGAGTTCTAGATTTCCACTAACCTTTGGGTGAAAAACTGCCTCCTGATTTCACTCCTAAATGGCCTAGCTCTAATTTTAAGACAAAGCACTGTTCTGGATTCCCCCATGAGAGGAAATAGTTTTATCTGTATCTACCCTATCGTGTCCCCTTATTTTAAAAACCTCAAATCAGATCAGCCTTCTAAACTCAAGGGAATAGAGACCAAGTTTATGCAACCTGTCATCATAATTTAACCCTGGTATCATTCTGTGTGATTCTGCATTGCACCTCCTCTAGAGCCAATATATCCTTGCTGAGGTGCGGTGTCCAAAACCAAACAGTCTCCAAATGGGGTCTGACCGAGACTCTATATAGTTGAAGGATCATTTCCTCTCCTATGTAATCCAGCCCCCTTCAGATAAAGGCCAATATCCCATTAGCCTTTTTGATAACGTTTTATACCTGTGAGCTTGTTTTTAGTGATTTTAATGAATACCCAAATACCTTTGCTCTTCCACAGTTCTCACCATTTAGAAAATGTTCTGTTTTGCTATTTTGGGATCCATAGTGGATGACCTCACAGTTGCCCACGTTAAATTCTATCTGCCACACTTTTGCCCACTCACTTAATAATTATCTAAATCCCTTTGTAACTTTCTGCTCCCATCTACACAATTTGCTGTGCCTCCTAACTTTGTGTCATCTGCAAATTTGGATATAAAACTCTATTCCTTTAACCAAGTCATTTATTTATATATATTTCATATGTATATGATGAAAAGCTGAGGCCCCATTACAGACCCCTGGGGAACATTACTTGTCATGTCCCACTGATCAGAGAATGTTCCTTTATCCCTAGTCTTGTTTCCTGCCTCCCAACCGATTACTAAGCCATGTCGCAAGGTTACCTCTGATTCCATGTGCTTTTATTTTTGCTAATAACCTCTTGTGCGGAACCTTATCAAATTCCTTCTGGAAGTCCATGCAGACAACATCCATATACACTCTCGTATCCAGCATGTTAGTGACCTCCTAAAAAAATTAGATTAGATTTGTCAGACATGACATACCCTCCACAATCCATGCCTTGATTAGCTCCTACTTGTCCAAGTGCTCAGTTACTCTGTCCCTGAAGAGAGATTCCAGTAACTTCCCCACAGCTGAGGTTAAGTTGACAGGTATGTAGTTACCTGGTTTCTCCCTCCCTCCCTTCTTAAATAATGGAGTGACGTTTACAATTCTCCAATCCAAAGGCACAATTCCCAAATACTGAGCTTTGGAAAATTATGACTTTTATCGCATCTGCAATTTCCTCCCCAGGTGCTATACAAATGGAATTTTGTGTTGTACTTGTTTTAATACTCTGGGGTGGAATCCATCAGGTCCTGGAGATTTGTCTATCTTTAGTCCCATTATTTTCTCCATTACCATTTTTTTATTTATATTATATCCATTTCGTACTTCTCTTTGGCTTATTTTTAGGTTCCCTTTTACCGCTGGTATTTTGTCCTCTTCCTCTACTAAAAATGGAAGCAAAGTATTCATTCAACAAGCCTTCCATTTCCTTATTGTCCATATAGTCTCGCCTACATAGGTCTTTAATGGGCCCACATTGAATTTAAAATAACCCCAAGTCAAAATATTATAATACAAATGAAATGTTACACAAAAGACAAGGAGTTTACATTCTGCTCAAATGCTAAGTTGCGTGTGAGAGACAGTGAGATACACTGTGCGTGTGTGGTTGTGGTAGTGGTGTGGGTAGGTGGTTGAGTGAGTGTGCTTTTTGTTTCTGACTATCGTGCCCTGTCCAAGAGGGCATTCTTTAATCATAAGGAGGAAAGTGGGGTGAGAGCTTCTTCACAGACCCCAAGTTCACTACCTGATTTTCTTTCCTATCTCCCTATAGGAAATGTTTCCCTGACAGCTCCTTTGAAATGCGGAACAGTTGTGTTTGGGAAATTGTGCCTCGGTGCTCGCATTATGCATCTACACAATGTGTTGGAATTTCCCACAATTGATCTTGGTGTTTCCAGAATTGACTGGGGTGTAATGGAGACTATTATCCAGTACTTCCCATGAGACATGACAGCATTCAGCTCAACCATGTCGAGAGGCTGTTTGGGTGTTATGCTGGAGACAGGTGTCCATTAAACTACTCAGCACAAATTGCCACTTTCAGAAGAGGTTAGGGAAAAAGTTGATTATGTTTTAAAGAAAACGTTAAAATACAAATACTTGGTGAGTTGTAACAGATGAGAGATAACAGACCATACGTTGCCTCTCTATTGCATCTTACACTAGTTAAACAGCTGTATTTCAAGTATTGTATTCTGAAGTTATCCACAGACTATGTTGAGCTTGTTCCTCCTAAATATCTATAGAATTCTGCGCATTCTCCTTCACCTTGAGGTGAAAAACTGTATGCTTGTGCTTAAATTAGGAGTGCGAATATTGATTTGAATTTGCACTGGCAGGGTGAATGACTGTGATGACCTTGATGTGACAGAAGAAGTCATTGGCAAGATAGCAGTGAACATTGAAAAGGAATTGTTTATGTTGTTCCGAGAAACTGACAGCAAGTACAAGAGCCGATACCGCTGTATCATGTTTAACTTAAAAAACCCCAGGAACCAGGTACAGTGCTGTCTCCGTGGTATTAAGAAACCAATCCCTGCTTCAGTCTCTATGGTAGAGTACATGTACTGAAACACCAGCCCCAGTGTAGCCTGTATTACCCTATACCAGATGGTCCAACCGTTTGGCTGCAGTGGGTTGGATTCCCTATTTTGAGAAAGGTCTGCAGGCCACATCTGACCTCAGACCATTTCCACCCTTCCAACTTCCACTCCCAGCAGGAGCCGTCGGTTGGGAGGGCGCAGCGTATAGAGTGCAAATAATTTCGGCCGTGAATGCAGTCTGTCAACAAGGCAAGTGCGTCTCTTATCAGCCACATCCTTAACAACTTAGTCCTGCTACTGCAGAGAGTGAACACCATGGCTGATTGGGAGAGAGAGGAATTGAGGGGTGGGGAATGGACACTCTCGCTCCTCTCCCCTCTCTCACTCTCACACACTCTCACTCAGTTACTTTCAGTCCATTTCTCACACTCTCTTCCCTCTCACACTCCACCTGCCCCTCTCAATCACTCCTTCTCCCCTCTCCTACTCTCTCACAGTCTCCATCTTTCAATTACTCTCTCACTCACTCTCTATCCCCTCCCAAACTCTCTCATCACCCTCACTCAATTTCCTCCTCTCTTTCTGTTTCTCTCCCTTTCTCCTTCATAGTCACTCCCTCACACTCTTTCACTCTCCCTCTCTCATGCTTCCCCCTCTCAGACTCTACCACACTTTCAATCTCTCTGCTCTCCCTCTCAATCACTTTTTCAGTCTCTCTCTCACTCCCCCTTTCTTAGCTTTCTCTCTTCCCTCCATTTCCTCTCCCCCCCCCCCCCCCCCTCAATTTCTCTCTCAATTAGCCACGGTTCACTATCTGGAGCGGCAGGACTAAGTTGCTAAGGATGTGGCTGGTACGAGACGTGCTTGCCTTTATGGCAGACTGCAGTAACAGCCGGTATTATTCCCACTCGCCGCGTTCCCGCCAACCCAAGGCTCCTGTCACTGCCCTGGGAAGCTGTTCACCAGGAGGGCAGGGAGTGGAATTTGGATATGGTCTCGGGCTGTCACGCTGTCACATAGTAATCACCTCAACCCTAATACCTGCCACACAACCCCCCCCCTCCCCCCCCCCCCCGCTGAGGGTCCCCCACTAAGGCTCCCCCCACACACACACTAAGGCTAAGGCCCCCCCTCCCCAATGATGCCCTCCCTGCACTCCCACGCTGAGGCCTTCTCCACCCCCACACTGAGGCCCAACCCATTGAGACCCCCACCCTGATCCCATGTAACATAACGAGCAGACTGTACAGTTTGTGCTTGTTTCTGTCACTCCATTTCTTTGCCCACATGATATTGTAATAATTTAGTGGTATTGGTTTCAGGGCCTCTTTCGCCGTGTTCTTCAAGAGCAGATTGTTCCCTCCAGGCTGGTACGTATGAGTCCCGAGGAGATCGAGTCGAAGGAACTGGCCATGTGGGGAGAGAAAGAAAGCAGATCTGTGAGTATGGATCCAGAAATTAGATAAAAGTAGCTAAGGCAGAGTATCAAAGGGACAGGCCGCTTCTTTTCCACTGAAAATGCTGGACGTTGTGAAACAAGCAATTCAGCCACATTTAACAAGAAAAAGATGATCGTTCAAGGTACCTGGTCATTTGAAACTATTTCAGATTTAGTCAACTTGTTAAAAATAAACTGATTCATGACCTAAGAGTACTAGGGGCATGGGAAATAGGTGGGGAATTGGGATTCAAAGAGCTGCTGTGATCTTAAAAAGACAGCAGAATGGACTGAATGGCTTCTTCCTATATGTATATTTGGTAAGTTTAATTAGTGTGTGTGACACATGACAATTTAATATTGTTCCACAGGCAAGGGAGCAAAGTGCGAGATTGCAGCGTGAAACAAAACGACCAGCTTCACGGGTGATGAACAAGTCTGAAGTAGATCTTGAAGAGGCACCACCGATGTCTGATGCTGATGTACGTATAAAACTCCAAACAAAAGTTTCCCTTCTTCCTACATGCAGTGATGGGCACAGTGTTGCACTGGAGAGGATACTCTGTGCATTGGTATCCTGAGCAGTCATTCGTGTACAGATATGAAGCAACAGCTTCGGCTTGCAGATGTTTTGTCCAATCACAATTATAGCATATATTCAAACCCCACCATTTCCGTGAATACCACCACTGAATGTCGGGTTTGTAGCTTTCATCCACAGTTTTAACTTTAACAATTCTATCCCACTGCTCTCTGTACCTGAAATTCCAAGTCTGGCTGTGCTCTATCTCTGCTCCTGATGTGGGAAAAGAGAAGGGAAAGAAATGAGAGTAGATACCTCCACCTCAGGGTTCGTGTTTGTGGGGGACACCACATTAGTACAGGCACCATGGAGAAAGTATAAGGGAATGGGAGTAAAGTAGATATAGCTCATGATTCTATGATCTGGTAAAAGAATGGTTAACTGTTCATTAGGGCTAGCAGTTTCTTCAACTCTGTTCTGACACAAAAAAAATAAAAGCTTTTGATCCTGTATGGAGACCAACACTGGAGGAGAGCTTGAATGCATCACCTTGGCCTGGGCTCAGTTCTCACATTCTGCCACACTATCAAGAGCTCTTCAGAACTGCTCTCTCCGGATTATTATTCCTCAGGGCAGCAGCGGGATACTCAACCCTTTAAACAATCTTTCGTGTTTATAATTAGCATTTTAATGAGTTTTTGTTGTTGTTCCTGAATTGGTATTCAATCATGGGATCATCACAAATAACCAAACTAAACATTTAATTCAGCAAATCCATGCAACACATGTCCCAGCCTGGCCCTCTGATGAGGCTAATGTTCCAGACAGTAAAGATTATTCCATCAGAAGGATGTGGAGTGAAGACAACACTCGCTGTGACCTGCATACATTCCCTGTAAAGTGTAAGCAACGCAACTATTACTGATTTACTATAATAGGACCAAAGCAAAATGCTTGTTATGGGAAATGGCTTTTGCTAACGTATGAAGCATGGAGCACACAACATGTTAAGGTGATAACCATATTAAATACTTTCCATTATATTGCTTTCCCAAGAATTTAGTGAGTAAATACAAAATGTGGTGTAGCACTGAGCCACAAAGACCAGAAGGGTTTATTTACTTTCTGGTCTACACCATCGGTGGGGGAACTTTCAGCCATTCGGCCCCCATCCCAAGTCCCTCTAACTCGCCCCATCCGTCCCCACTTACCTCTTGTGACGACGCTTTGTGACCCCACCCCACTGTGGCAGGTGCTTGGCCTTCTGTGTAAAGCTCGTGAGATACAGATTAGCCATGATCTTATAAAATGGCAGAACAGGCTTGATGGGCTGAATGGCCTACTCCTGTTTCTATGAAACACAAAAGGCATAAATTGTATTATATACTTACTGCACCTGTTGGGGTGGTGGGGGGTGGTAAGGACAGTGGACAGTCGGCCTCAATTCCTACTCCTTATTACTGTCCAATGACCCTCTTCCGAAAATGGACATGTTTATACATCGGGTAAGGACAGGATTTGGACGCTGCTTGTATGGTGCCACCAGTCAAACAACGTAGTGACATTTGAATCCTGAGCAGTCAATGAAGAATAGCATCAGGCATTGTTGGTGAGCTGCTGCTGGCTAAGGAACCAATCCCAGCAGGAGATTGACTTCAGCAGAGGAGAGGTAAGGAGAGAAATCTCATTGTACCTGAATGTCCCCTCAGTGGTGCACATCAGCAGATAGCCCCTCTGGTGGTAAGCGCTATCATCCATCAGAAGCAGCCAGTAGCTGCTCCAACCAGGGCAGGGTCTATACTGCTGTATTTTCTTCCCTATACTGCCTATTCCCTCTTCCCTATTCCCTGCTATACTGCTATATTTTCTTCTTCAGTAATGAAAACCACACATTTTGTTCATGTGTCATCAATATACAATTACATTTGCCCATTGGTAACATTAAATTACAAAACTCAATCTAGATGTGGATATCCAAATCTGCTTCCTCTCCCACCAATTTTCCATTTGTTGTGTTTGTCGGGATGGCTTAGTTAGCACTTCAAGCCCTGCATTGGTACATGGGTTCATGGACCACGAGGCTGAGACCTGGCATTCTATGGACAAGATATTAAAACAATGTCCCTGTTCAGTTGGATGCCAAGGATCACAATATTGGGAAAGTGAAAGGTGTTTCTTCTGGTTTATTCAACAGATAAATTGTTCATTCACTTTAATGCTGTTTGTAGGACCTGTAAAAGGTACAAGGTCTTTCATTCTTATAAATACCAAATACACAAATCATTCTCCAAGGTAGGAGCAAAGAAGACAGACTGAAAAGTGCAGGATTTATCAAGCAATTTTTTAAACACTCCAATCAAGTGGTTTAGGGAGGGCATGGGTTTGATGCGGGAAGGACAAGCTACTTATAAAAATACATGAAACTCGTACACGAGGTAGGTAATCTCATCATTTCTATTTATCCTCCACAGATCTATAATTTTATATCAATTATTGCATTCCAGGCTGATAAACTGAAAAGCATGTGCAAGACGTATTATTTACTCCATTTAACATTGTAATTAAATCTACTCCAAGAGTAATCATTATTACCAGTGGGACTTAATTCACACTGCTCTCTTCCCAAACCAATACCCAATACTTTCAGCTGCAGTCTGACTTAGATGATCAGTAGCATGCTTAGAGTACTGTGAGATGGTACTTTCCCTGAGATCAGTGGGCATGAGGTGACTCCAAGGTCACCCACTTGATAATGGAATATCAGAAGCAAGATGATCCTCTGAAAGGCCTCAGTAGTACATTCCTGAGACAGCCAGGCCAGGCCCACAGTACTCCAAAGCACTGTTGATGTCAAAGCAGCCAACCTGCTTGTTAGCAGGACTTGGAGTTGCAGACCTTGTGAATACAGCTCGGATTCTTTCCACTTGGTTCCAATTAACCCTACAAACTAAAGTGCTAATGGACAAACGAGGAAGCTTTTTGCAGTGGCGAGCTGTTTAAATGCCTGTGGTACCCCAGTACCCAAACTCGGCTCTTGTGAACCGGTATCTGAACTTTCCTGGAGTCGGTAAGAAGAGTATGCGCCTCTAAGGAGAGAGTGCACGTTCCATAAACAGACCATATAGATGTGGAACTCTTTAGCCGAGGTAACTTGGTTTGGAGACTCTAGAGCATGTTGATGGGTTTCCCGGCTGATGATAAAAAATCTTGTTATAGATCTATCAATATTCTATCGGTGTTGAAAAATCACTGGTAGATATACTCACTACATAGTTCATAAGAATATGTTTCCATTTGTTTCTGCATGAAAACTGTGGGTGGATGTTTCAGCTGGTTGGAACTGTATGCATGAGGTCCATCTGCTCACCCAACCCTGCTCTATCCATCAAATCTGGACAAAGTATATGAATGCCACTTATGCAATCACAGAAAACATCATCCATTGTCTTTAGATTTCAAGTCAGTCAAGTTCCTGTTAAGCACTAAGTATTCCAAACAAATAGTGAATAATTTCAGTTTGTGCCTGCAGTTCTGCCTTTCGCCAAGTCTTGAGTTTTAGATTATTGAAAGCCTCAGACTGCGCTCCCTATTGGAAGGAAGTAGATCGGATGCTTGCAGCATTAATATCTTACCAGATACTGTACTAAGTGATATCAAGTACTTAATTAGCACACCACAAAGAGCAAGTTAGGTTACGTAGTCCTTGTTCACAATCGTTACTCTTGATGAGGCAGAAAGGCTTTGATTTAAAGTGTGAGGTGTACTGTTTAAGGAAAAAAGTTTCTTTAAAACGTTCACTCTGCACGTGCCTTTACACTGAAAACCTGCTGCTAGTTGGTGCCTGTGCCCTCCCTCTCCGCTCTGCACAGCGCTCTCCCTCGCCGCTCTACACAGCGCTCTCCCTCGCCCCTCTGCACAGCGCCCTCCCTCGCCGCTCTACACAGCGCTCTCCCTCGCCCCTCTGCACAGCGCTCTCCCTCGCCCCTCTGCACAGCGCTCTCCCTCGCCGCTCTGCACAGCGCTCTCCCTCGCCGCTCTGCACAGCGCCCTCCCTCGCCGCTCTACACAGCGCCCTCCCTCGCCGCTCTGCACAGCGCCCTCCCTCGCCGCTCTACACAGCGCCCTCCCTCGCCGCTCTACACAGCGCCCTCCCTCGCCACTCTGCACAGCGTCCTCCCTCGCCGCTCTGCACAGCGCCCTCCCTCGCCGCTCTGCACAGCGCCCTCCCTCGCCGCTCTGCACAGCGCCCTCCCTCGCCGCTCTGCACAGCGCCCTCCCTCGCCGCTCTGCACAGCGCCCTCCCTCGCCGCTCTGCACAGCGCTCTACCTCGCCGCTCTGCACAGCGCTCTCCCTCGCCGCTCTGCACAGCGCCCTCCCTCGCCGCTCTGCACAGCGCCCTCCCTCGCCGCTCTACACAGCGCCCTCCCTCGCCGCTCTGCACAGCGCCCTCCCTCGCCGCTCTACACAGCGCCCTCCCTCGCCGCTCTGCACAGCGCCCTCCCTCGCAGCTCTACACAGCGCTCTCCCTCGCCGCTCTGCACAGCGCTCTACCTCGCCGCTCTACACAGCGCCCTCCCTCGCCGCTCTGCACAGCGCCCTCCCTCGTCGCTCTACACAGCGCCCTCCCTCGCCGCTCTACACAGCGCCCTCCCTCGCCGCTCTACACAGCGCCTCCCTCGCCGCTCTGCACAGCGCCCTCCCTCGCCGCTCTACACAGCGCCCTCCCTCGCCGCTCTACACAGCGCCCTCCCTCGCCGCTCTACACAGCGCCCTCCCTCGCCGCTCTGCACAGCGCCCTCCCTCGCCGCTCTGCGCCCTCCCTCGCCGCTCTACACAGCGCCCTCCCTCGCCGCTCTGCACAGCGCCCTCCCTCGCCGCTCTGCGCCCTCCCTCGCCGCTCTGCACAGCGCCCTCCCTCGCCGCTCTGCGCCCTCCCTCGCCGCTCTGCACAGCGCCCTCCCTCGCCGCTCTACACAGCGCCCTCCCTCGCCGCTCTGCACAGCGCCCTCCCTCGCCTCTCTGCGCCCTCCCTCGCCGCTCTGCACAGCGCCCTCCCTCGCCGCTCTGCACAGCGCCCTCCCTCGCCGCTCTGCACAGCGCCCTCCCTCGCCGCTCTGCACAGCGCCCTCCCTCGCCACTCTGCGCCCTCCCTCGCCACTCTGCGCCCCCCAATACTCCCTCCCTCGCTGCTCTGCAGTTTCGCAGTAGCAGCTGTCTGTATGTTACTATAGAGGTAGTGCAGTTGATGGCAGTGCGCAGGGCTGAAAGATCAATGATCACTGCTGCTGGTGTGAAAACAAACCTTCAAAGCAAAGCACTGGCTTCAGATGGACAGGAACTTGAGGGAGATGGAGGGTACAAAAAACAAATTCCTGTTTCTAATTGAAGTGCTTTAAAAGTGCTTCAGTTAAGTTGCCACCTCTTCCTTTTAATTTCAATGACATAAATTTATGTTGCAGATAGACGGAAGTAATGTTAATGACTTGTTTGCATCACTACAGGCGAGGCTTGTATTTTACAGATGCTGCTGAGCAAGCTGTTGTGCCCACTAGTGTAAAATTGCAGCAACACCTATTTTAATTATATTTCTCCATCCTCATAAAGGCATTTGACTGTTTTTCCCTTTCTGCTGGTGTATAATTCTGTAGGTCATCTGTTGTGCCTTTCCAATTTCCAAGTGACTATTATTCATGTGTGAGCCCTGACAAGTGTTAGACGCTATTGAACAGGTGGTAGGGGGAGGGCAGTGATCACACTGACCCAAATCAAATCAGGTTTCCACTCGACACTACTGGCCCGAATCGGGTTTCCACTCAACATCCACGCTGCTGCACATTGGGATAGTGATCAGGCCCTGGCACATTCTTTCTCAATGATGCTGAAATGAATTGAAGTCCCTTTATTGCCATATTTAGTGTATTTTCAATTCATGTCTTGCTAATTACGGTATAGTGCTAGCTTAAAAGGCAGAGATCAAGTTCTCATTATCTGAACAGCCATTTTATAGTTTGAATAATTCACTGCAGTGAGATTCCCCAATGAGTATTGAACCTCTTGAAGTAAATTAAATGTACTCTTCAGTATTGGACATCATACTCACAATTCTCAATAAACATAGTCTTCGCAAACCATCTCTGAAAAAGTTTAAACCTGGCTCAATATCTACAGACATTTTTGGATAAAGAGTCTTTGTGCATCTTGAAAATTCCCTAACTGTATAAATTTTACAATTTCAAATAAAACTTTGATACTTCAAAATCAGAACTTTACAAAAGTCAACTACAAGGTGGAGCTGTGCTGAAACACATCTGAGTCACTCCATTGGTGAACCTGTGTGGGATGCAGGCAGTGGCAATGCTGTGTGGGAGTGTATCCAGTAACACTAAACTGAGTGTTTAGTGAGTGTCACTGGATGTCATCAGTAAAACATCATGTCTCATGAAGATTAGGATTTGATCCAAAACTCCATGGTAATTGCCTTGTTCCTTATATCATCACAGAGTATCACCCAGACACCTCTTTAAAATTGGATCAACTTTGCCTTGAATTCTCAACCTTCTTTACCTGCCTCTTTTACATAGATGGAAACTGGCTCCACTGATGATATAGTGAATGTATTTTTGTTATAGTACCAAGTCCTACAGCCCACATGGTGTCCATGTTCAATCACTTTGCTCTATGCTTGGTTAGCTGATCTCTATTGGGGCTGCAACGGAGCTCCAAATGGCCAGTTTCTCTAAATCTCTGGGACTATGCCAACTCCCTGCTTGTCAGCCTTCCCAACGCTTCCCTCCACAAACTGCAAATCATCCAGAACCCTGCAGCTCATGTCTTCTTCCACTCCAGGCTCCGTGACCCCATCCCCCCACCCCATCCTCGCCCAGCTCCACTGACTCCCCATTCCCCCAGAGGATAGAGTTCAAAATCCTCGCCTTCAAGGCCCTCTACAGCCTTGCTCCTTCCTACCTCTATGACCTGCTAATCCCATATCAACCTGTCCGCTGAGGCCTGCTCCACATCCCCCGCTCAGCCTGCCCCACTATCGGCGGTCGTGCTTTCTGCCCCCATCCTTTGGAACTCCATCCCACATTCCCTTCGCCTCTCTCCATCCCTCACCTCCTTCACGGTGTATCTGAAAACCCTCCTCTTCGACCTCTGGCCACTCCCTGCCCTCCACCCTCCCCGATCCCGACCCACAGCTCGGGTCCAAATCTCTGACTGTCCAGGACCTTGGGATGTCCTCCCGATGTGAAGGATTGTATTGTATGAAGCTTTTCTCCTGCTGTTGATACTCGGTGCTGCATTGGAAAGTATGCGCATGATTTTGGGTGAAAGTACTTTCACATATAAAGAATGTTCACATGTGAGAATGGCTACAGAGATTTCATTACCTATAAAATGGAAAATTACCTATCGAAGAATATCTATTTTACACCTTCAATTTTAGCAAGAATCCTGTGCATCGGTTGGTCACTTATTTGCATTTAGAGCACACAAGCATGCACCCGATTATTATACCCATTATGTATGGTAGTTTTGTACAGTTGCCTTTTAGTTCAGTTGAAGTATGTGTGATTTCCTCAGGAACAGGAAGATTCTCGTCCTGCCCAGAAGAACAGTGCTCCATTGCCCGACATCTTAAGTCTTATGCTCAAGGATACCACTGATGAACACCGTGCTCACCTCTTTGATCTGAACTGCAGAATCTGTACAGGTAAAGGCACATGAATAAACCTCCCACACCCCCCACCCCCATATCAGGACTTTGAACACACTGTCTGTGCTGACGATTCATTGTAGTTCTGGGAGAGCACTGCATTATTGCTGTGCTTTGGACGGGATATTAAACCAACGTGCTGTCCACCTGTACTGGTCGATGTTAAAGATTCCTGGTAACTATTTGAAAAGAGAAGGGAGTTTCTCCTGGTGTCCTGGCTAACAATTCCAAGATAATAGTCATTCACTCATGGCAGTTTGTGGGACATTCCTGTGCACAAATTGGCTGCCGCAATTCCCCTACAAAATACAGGAAATCTTGTGAAGACTTTCAAATACAATACAAAATTATATTTGTATAGGGCCTTTCATGTCGGGAGGACATCCCAAGCCACTGCATGTCCTGAAATGAAAGGCTTTAAATCAAATGCAAGGATTATTATTGATTATTTCCCACTCTAGGTAAAATTCAAGTCTCAGATGATGAACCAGTGCCTAAAAAGCCCAAAGTAGTTGTGACCAAAAAGACGGAACCAAAACCGAAGCCCAGGGAAGAGTGGAGACACCGTCCAGAACTGGACAAGCCAGCAGTAACTGTTTCAGCAGCACAAGTCACAGCAGTTTCAACCCAAGTGACTAGTTCTCTTTGTATAGCATCAGTAGCCTCGTTCTCTATCAGTAAAGACACCTCACAAATTTCTTCAGTATTTGTCACCAGCTCCCCAGCAGCACCAGCCTCATCTGAATGTGCCACTGCAGTGATAAACACAGCACCCATAAACACAACATCCAAACTCAGTCCATCCACCCATCCTGAGATCAAATCAGCAGTACCTCAGTATTCCTCCGCTGTCCCTGCAGCTGCAAAAGGGGTAAAATTAACCGATGAAGAAAAGAAACCAGAGGCGCTGAAGTCTATTTTAACAACTGCAACTCCCAAGTCTATACTGAGCAAGCCATCAGCTGCATCAGAGAAGACATGTACAATGTCGTCGGCCATAAGGTTAGTAAATGTTTGTGCTAAACTATCCCAGCAACAATATGCAGTGCTCAAAAAAATCTCCCTTCTGGATCATCTCTAGTAAAACAGAAAGTCTGGGTGGTCGTTATCCATGCCTAGGACAAGATTTTTCCGTGCAGGACATTCTGGCTCTGCTTCACAAATGTGTTTCATAGAAATGTAAGGAGCCATTAACCCCAGTGAGTCTGCACCAACTCTCAGAGCAAGGTGTCCATTCAATCCCACTGCCCTGCCTTATTCCCTTACCCCTCAGTGTTTCATATATTTATCGGCTTCTGTCTTGAAACCAACAATGAACTATGCCTCTACCAACTTACTTGCTTGGACATTCTGCATCCTAACAAATCTGAATGAAACATATTTGAGATTTATTTTTGCTCTTATGACTATTATAACTATCTGTCCCATATTCACTGACTCCTCTTGTAGTGGAAATAGCTTCTCTATGTTTATCCTGTCAAAACCCCTCATAATTGTGTCCCCTCTCAACCTTCTCTGCTCCAATCTCTCCTCATACTGTAACACCTCATCCCTTGTATCATTCTTGTAGATCTTTACTGCACCCTCCAAGCTCTTAACATCTTTCCTGAAGCTGAATATGTTACTCCAGCTGTGGCATTTTTTACATAGGTACATTGTTGAAGTGGTCGTTTTCGCTGCTATATATATAGAACCCTAAATACTATTAGCTTTTGTGTTTTAACAACAAAATCAAAATAATTTGGAATGGTGGTGTGGTTACTCTTTGCTTCTCTGCGGTAGAGTTTCTTCTGAATTGAGGAGTTCGGCAGAAGTGGACACTTCTCTGTTCCTCTCTCACCTGGATGCCATCTGGAAAGGGTTTATCAACATGCACGGTGTGGCAAAGTTTGTCACCAAAGCGTATCCGGTCTCTGGATCCATCGACTATCTAGTAGAGGTATGATACTCCGTGAAACATGTTCAATGCTGGAAAAGGATATACTTTAATAAAATCTTCAGTCTATTCTGTGAAGCGCTTTGAGACGTCTAGAAGATGTGATAAGGCGCTGTATCAAATGCAAGGATTATTATATTATTATATGTTAGAAAGATTGAATATTGCAGTGTCTATACACTGTGGAAATCACCGCTGGCTGTCCTACAGCAGCCATTTGAATGCCCTATTCTCCCATTCTCACCATAAGGCTCACCGGTCGCTGACCACAGGGACCAACCTCTCCTCCCTGATCCAAATCCCCACCCTCCCCGTCAGTCCTCCCCTCCCCCCTCTCGTCCCCCACATTCCGCCAACAGCTGTCCCCTCTGCATCAGCCTACAAAATGTCCGCTCCCTCTCCAACAAAACATTCATCATCCAAGACCTCATCGTCGATGAAAACATCAACATTTTTGCCCTCACTGAAACCTGGATCACTCCAGGTGACACCTTCCCCCTGAGAGAGGCAACACCACCCGGCTACAGCTTCCATCACAACCCTCGACCTAACCACCATGGTGGTGGGGTGGTTTTCATCTCCCGGTCCCATTACTCCTCCGGAACTTTCCCCTCCTTTGAGCACCTTACCCTCCATCACCCTCCAACCTTTCCCTCAAAATTCTCCTTATCAACCGACCCTCCAAGCCCTCCCCCACCTTCACCCCCGACATCTTCACCCTCCTATCTTCCCTCTCCATCTGCTCCGAACACCTCCTCGTCCTTGGCGATTTCAATCTTCACTTCACCCCCTCCTGCTCTACCTCTTCTGGCTTTTCCTCCCTCATCAACTCCCTCAACAACAAAATTACATTTGTACAGCGCCTTTTACATTAGGAGGACGTTTCAAGGTGCTGGACAGTGTACAGCATTTCAGATCCAAGCTGGGGTCAGGGGGGGGAGGGGAAGGGGGGGTGACTGAGGGTATGGTCGAAGCGGAGGGTCTTGAGGCGGGCTTGAAGGAGGCTATGGAGGGGGCGAGGTGGAGTGATTGGGGGATGGAACTCCAGAGGTTGGGGGCAGAGTGGCTGAAGACTCTTCCGCCAATGGTGGGGCGGGTGGGTCGGGGGACGTGGAGCAGGCCGGTATCGGCTGAATGGAGGGAACGGGTGGGTTGGTAGAGGGTTAGGAGATCGCAGAGGTAGGGTGGGGCGAGGCCATGGAGGACTTCGTAGGTCAGGATCTTGAACTGGATCCTCTGAAGGATAGGGAGCCAATGGAGTCGAGCGAGAGTGGGGCAGATGGGTCACGGAGTTTGGTGCGGGAGAGGACACGGGCTGCAGAGTTAGTTCTGAATTATCTGCAGTCTGTGGAGGGAGGAGTTGGGAAGGCCGACACGCAGGGCGTTTGCATAGTCGAGCCTGGAGGTGATGAAGGCATGAACAAGAGTTTCAGCGGCCTGAGGGGTGAGGTAGTGGCAGAGTCGGACTTCCCTCGATCTCTCCCTCCACATCCACTCTGCCACCCATGTCCGTGGTCACCCCCTCAACTTGGTGATCACTCGGGGCCTCACTGTCTCAGACCTCACCATCATCGACAAAGCGATCTCGTACCATCATGTTATCTCCCTTAACTTCTCAATCACTCTCCCCACCGCCGCCCAACCCACCTCTGTCTCCTACCGCCCCTGGAAAACAATCTCCCCCCTACCCCCCACTTGGCTACCTTGGAGTCATCTGAACTCCTTCCCCTCTGGGGGTCCTCCCACAGTGACCTATTCTCCTCGGTCACTCTTCTCCACAGCTCCCTCTCCTCCATTCTCAATTCCCTTGCTCCCCTCTTCCCAAACCGTCTCCTATTCACGTAAGTCACCATGGTACACCAGCCACCTCCGCACCCTTAAAGCTAGCTTAAATCAAACTTAATGGTCCATCGGCAGATAAGGCTGGACCATATCAAATCGTATGGCTCTGCACTCACCTCCGCTAAATCGTCGTTCTAATCCAAGACAATCTTGGAGGCTAAGGACAGCCCCAGGCTCCTCTTCTCCATCACCAACCGGCTCCTCCACCCACCCTCTCATGCCTCACCCATCCTCACCTCAAATGTCAACTGCGAGGCGATGCTGGACGTCCTCGAATCCAAAGTCGAGGGAATCCACTCAACTGCCTCTGCCACTGTATCTGCTACCCCCTCCCCGTCAAGCCCTGGCCCCTACCCATCCCTCCCTCCACACCTTTGAACCTGTCTCCCACTCATCTCTCATCACCACTATAACCCGCATGAAACCAACCACCTGCTCCCACGACCCCATCCCTACCCCTCTCCTTACCTCCCAGCTCCACCTCCTTGCCCCTCTACTCACTGACATCATAAACCTCTCCCTGTCCTCTGGTGCTGTTCCCCCCCCATTAAAAATTGCCGTCATCACTCCTATCCTTAAACAATCCTCTCTGGACCCTGCTCTACTCCCAAACTACTGCCCCATCTCCAACCTTCCTTTCCTCTCCAAGGTCCTGGAACGAGTTGTTGCTTCTCAGCTTCACTCCTTCCTCTCCCGCCCTCCCTTCAGAACCCCTCCAATCGGGTTTCAGTGCCGCCCACAGCACCGAAACAGCCCTGGTTCAAGTTGACAAATAACATTCTGCAACTAGGGCTCCCTCTGCCTCCTCGTCCTCCTTGACCTCTCTGATGCATTCAACAACGTCGACCACTCTATAATAATAATAATAATCCTTGCATTTGAGATAAAGCACTTCACAAAGTATGCTGTAAAGTGAATTGACTGTATATTTGTGGGCGAAACGCGGCAGCCAATTGCGCACAGCAGTGTCCCACACACAGTCGTGGATTGAAAATGAACAATTTATTATTGTTTTGTTTTGGAGGGATTATTATTAGGTGTGTGGAGTAAGGAAAGTTGCCCAAGGTTTCGCCCTCTGCCTGGAATTGAACCCAGGTGTCTCGCTTGCAAGGCGAGCGCTCTAACCACTGAGCTACAGGACTCTATCCTCATCCACCGCCTCACCACTCACCTCAAACTTCACGGCTCTGTCCTTGACTGGTTCAGATCGTACCTCTCACACCACCTGCACTTCATCTCTGCAAACGGCTTCTCCTCCAGCCCCCGCACCATCTTTTGTAGCGTTCCTCAGGTCTCTGTCCTTGGTCCCCTCCTCTTCAATATCTGTGTGGTCCCTCTTGACATGGGGTCAACTTTATGTGAATGTGGATGACACCCAACTCTACCTCTCTGCCTCCACCCTTGACTCCCGAACCACTGCTGTGCAAACAGAATGTCTGTCAGACATCAAGCCCTGGATGAGAGCAAACTTTCTTCAGTTGAACGTCCACAAGACCGAGGCTCTCCTGATTGGCTCCTGTCAGCGCCTCTTCACCTCAGGCGCTGACAGCATCACCATCCATGGTTGCACACTCCACTTTGCTAAACCAGTCCGGTCTTGTTGGGGTCTTGTTTGACCCTCAACTATCCTTTCTTCCCCACATCTCCGCCATGACCCGCTCTGCCTTCCCCACCTCCGCAACATCGTCCGGCTCCACCACTGTCTCACACCGCAGGCGCCCGAGACCCTCACACACCCCTTCATTACATCGAGGCTCAACTTTGCAAATTCACTGCTTGTCGTCCTCCCCAACTCCTCCCTCCACAGGCTGCAGATCATCCAGAACTCTGCAACCCTTGTCCTGCACCAGGCTCCGTGACCCTATCACCCCCATCCTTGCCTGACTCCACTGGCTTCCCATCACACAGAGGACACTGTTCAAGATCCTGGTCCTCACCTTCAAAGCACTCCATGGCTTTGCTCCCCCCGACCTCTCTGACCTCCTAACCCCCTACCATCCTGCTCGCTCCCTCCGCTCAGCATGCTTCACGTCCCCCGCCTCGCTCGCCCCACCTTTGGCGGGCGGGCCTTCTGCCACTCTGCCCCCAGCCTCTGGAACTCCATCCCGCAGTCCCTCTGCCTCGCCCCCTCAATTGCCTCCTTCAAGGCCCATCTCAAGACCATCCTCTTCGACCGTGCTTTCGATCTCTCTGCTTCCCCCCCTGCCCTCCACCCTTCCCAACCCCAACCCCCAGCTCAGGTCCAAAATTCTGTCTGTCCAGCACCTTGGGATGTCCTCTCGACATGAAAGGCTCTTTACACATGTCATTGTGTTGTTGTTATTATTGTTGTCTATGGGAATGGGATTTAAGTATGTTAATAATAATACTTAAATTTGAATGTTGAGCCTTTCATGTCGAGAGGATGTCTCAAAAGAGCTTCACAAGATATACTTTAAAGTGTAGTGACTGAACAGTTGACACAATAGACACAAACAATCAAGCAGATCAATCGAGTTATTTAAGAATGTAAAATAAATGCATATTTGCGGGTTTTTTTTAGGATTTGCCAGATACAATTCACATTGGTGGCCGGATTTCACCCCACACAGTCTGGGATTATGTCAGCAAACTGAAATCTTCTCTTTCTAAGGTATAGTACACAAACTCGAGTCAACGCTGCATCTGTGATAGGCACTGGCTGTTTAGGGTTGTTATTGTTCATTTTATACATTTCTTTACATAATATCAATCTCTATTTTCATAGTACAGTATAGATTATTATAGATTACATGTATTTAAAAATATGAATTAAATTGGTTCCTTAATTTTACAACAGAAAAAAAGTTTATTCTGCAGTAAGATCCACATTTTGTGCAAATAGTTTCTTAAGATTTTTCAACTGATCCCAATGACTTCAATCTGAGACATCAGTCCGAGAGCTATTTGTGAAGGACACTAAATGAGTACAAGTTGTTGTTCCTTATCGAATCACTGGAAAAACTGACAAAGAGGAGCGTGGCTGTCACACCGATGCTGGTTTAGAAACACAGACACTTTTTTCATTGTGATGAGATTAGTCATTCTTGTGATTGGAGAAAAGTTTGTACAAATTTCTGAATGAAATTAGAAGAAAGGCCTTTTATATAAATGAGGGCACGTGGGACTAGACTGGGCAACGCAAGGTCAGGATGTCAGGCTGGGTATTGGAAAAACAGTACTTGAATTCATTGAAAATGGCCATCAAATGTTTTTGTAAATCATATTTCATAGAATCATAGATTCCATGAAATGTCATTTACAAAACTATTTAGTGAAATAGATCTTGGTTTCCAGAGTGGTTCTATCAACTCCATTCAGTTTTGAGTTTTAACTTATTTCTACCTGGAATAGAGGAAAGCTGAGAGTTTGAGGGATGTGATCTAAGGAGAAATATTTCTATTGATATTGAATTATGCAAATGCCATTAATTACAATTTGAGGAGTTTGGAATTTTCACTGTTGCCTTGATGGGATTGCATGGCAGTAAATGCAGAATTTACTGAGTTCCATCCCTACTTCAATGTTTAATGTAATCCTGTTCCATTTTTGTGACTGGATATTTATAAGCCCTATATGTGTGTGTCTGGTCAGCTCATTGGTTTGAGGTGCTTTAGCATTGTGTGCACAGAATATGGTGTTGGAGGCTGGAGCTTGGTTGCAGGGAGAGTTGTAAAAAGCTTTTATATGAAGTATTGTCTTTATCATCCCTGGTATATGCAGGAAGTCTGTCTGATCCGATTTCATCCAGCCACCGAGGAGGAGGAGGTGACCTATGTCTCGCTGTACTCCTACTTCAACAGTCGCGGGCGCTTTGGGGTTGTGGCCAATAATGCCAGGCACATCAAGGACCTGTATCTTATCCCACTTGCTGCTAAGGATCCGATTCCCTCCAAATTATTACCTTTTGAGGGTCCAGGTAAGAGCAGATTCTTTCGAAATGTGAATAACAAAGCACAATTTGAACACATTAATTCACAGCAGCATATACCCTCACACAGGACCTTGAGTCTGTGACGTGACCTTGGTGATGTCTAGAGAGCCTGGATGTTAATCAAGCAGCTACTGTTCACTTTGCATCGAGAGCGAAAGTTCCTTTTGAAGCATTTTCTCTCATCCGCTTCCTTCAGGTCTCCCTGCACCATATCTCATCAACCTGATCACAAGTTTCTTCCAATGCGGCTATGAACCTGGCCACGGGGTTGGGCGGGGGAGCTGCCCTGTGAAGGTTAATGTCTTCAACACCTTGATGAATCAAGAGTTCAGTTAATGGCATTCTCAGGCATATTTACTGGATCACACCCGTACACCATTACGCAATGAAATATGTGAACCAAGTGCTTGTACCAATAATTAAGTTATTGGATTTGTTATTGGATACACAGCAACCAACTGGCATAGTATGGTATTGTAGGGGCTCTGATCTCGTCTGAGTCCATAAAAGTGTTACAAACTGCAGTTAAAATTAGATGAAAAATCTTGAGTCCTGAGCCGCTATAGATCTTAGTGCGCTCAAGTTTCAGACGTACAGGAGAAATTACTTGAAATCTGTTTGCAAAAGCTGCTGGGATCATGAGGTTCCCATTAAAGGACCATGAGCGATCTTAACTAGCAGCACTGAAACAACACGATTTGGTGGTTTGAGTGAGTCCCACTGACTGTAACGACAAGTTTGTGTACTGAGAGGTGAGCTCCAGGCAAAGGTGCAAGTCCTTTACCCTTCATTCTTTACCGCACATGGCTGCTGTGTGGCCACCTCTACAGTGAGGACGTATAGAGCTTCGTGTCCAACTCGACTTTTGTACTTTTCATAAATATTTTTGTGAAAAATAATTTCAATATATTTGCGCAGAAATGTATTAAAATGGAAAAGTCAGTTCCAACCAAACCTGGTGCCAAGCAGATTCTGTAGTAAATCTTTTAAGGATCTTGTTGCTGGTCTCCCTCGTAGTGGATTTTATAAGGAGCCTTTTACTAAAACTTATCAGCATTCAAAGTTACTTTACATAACGCTGTCACAGTCCATCAGTGAATGGAGCTGTGTTCAGCAGTGGAAATGTGATCATTACTAATCATATGCAGTAGAGTACGATGGAACTTTAGCCATCTCTTTTATAATTTATACCAACTAACACGCAACACTACTGATTTACCTAATAGTCAGAATCTTACCTTTATGTGAACGATTTTATTGTTTTAATTTTAATTACATTCAAAAGCAAAATGGAATAATAGCTATTTGAAAATAACTTGTTAAATGACTGGCAGCATACTTTCAGAAGGGATAATAATAATAATCCTTAAAATAGTGCCTTATCACGTCTTCTAGACTTCTCAAAGCGCTTTACAGGATACATTGAAGTGTAGTGATTGTTTCATGGGTGAAACATGGCAACCAGTTGCACACAGCAGTGTCCCACACACAGTCGTGCATTGAGTGACCACATTATCATTATTATTATTTTTATTACCCCCAGAAAGCGATCCACCAATCGACTAATAAGCAAGTTTCTATTTACTGCTAGGTAAACAGAGGCGTGTGTGTGGATTAAGGAAATTTGCCAAAAGTTTTGCCTTGTCCTGCCCGGGAATCGAACCCAGGTCATTTCACTTGCGAGACGAGCGCTCTAAACATTACACTGCAGGACTCTAAGCTACTCCAACCCTATGTTAATGGTGTTAGAGTAGAGAGAGAGCAGGGGAATTGGGTTAGAGTAGAGAGAAAGAGAGAGAGAGATAAGGGGAATGGGGTTAGAGTATAGAGAGAGAGCAATGGAATAATAATAATCCTCGATGTCTCAAAGTGCTTCACAGAATAGACTGTAAAGTGAATTGAATTTGTGGGCGAAATGTAGCAGCCAATTGCGCACAGTAGCTTCCCACAAACAGCAGTGGATTGAAGTGACCAATTTATTAATATTTTTTTTGAGGGATTATTATTAGGCGTGTGGAGTAAGGAAACTTGCCCAAGGTTTCAGCCTGCCGGAAATCGAACCCAGAGTAGAGAGAGAGATGGGAGGAATGGGGTTAGAGTAGAGAGAGAGAGGGCGGGGGAATGGGGTTAGAGTAGAGAGTGACAGTCTGGGGGCAGCGAGCACCAGCACGGACACTGTGTGGGTGTGGTGGGGTGGGTGGGTGGAAGAGAGAGAGAGAATGAGAGAGACTGGGAGAAAGAGAGATACATACACATTGAGACGGACTGAGAGAGAATTTGCAAGAGATAGAGAGAGATTGAGAGTAAGACAGATAAATATAGAGTGAGATAGAGAGCAGGGGAATGGAGTTAGAGTAGAGAGAGAGAGTGAGCATGTGAGTGCGAGAGAATGTGGGGAAATTAGAGTGTGAGAGACAGTCTTAGAATCATATAATTATACAGCACAGAAGGAGGCCATTCAGCCCATCGTGTCTGTGCCAACTCTTTGAAAAAATCTATCCAAATCACCCGCTCCCCATAGCCCTGCAAACTTGTCCTCCTCAATCGTTTGATTGTTGCCTGATCATCATAGACTTTTTCAGAGGAGATACGTGCCATATAGCCATATGTAGTCTACCTGGACTACCAAAGGACATTTGGTAAAGACCACATGAGAAGCTCCTTTACAAAACATGACAGTGAGTTAAGTTTAAGGTATGGATTGTTGTTGTAACTGGATAAACGGAAGGAAGCAAAGGCCACTTGTAAGGGAAGCAAAGTCAAAATGAGAGGTAGGGAGAGGTATTGAGTAAGTTGCCTCAGGTTTATCTTGGGACCACTCCTAATATTTGTCAATTTCTGAATTTGTATACTTAGTATGTTAAATATTCCGATGACACCAGGTTAGGAGAATTTGTAGAAATTAAGGAGATAGATAAGATTTGAACAAAAAGACTTGAACAGGTTATGATCCTGGACAGAGGAGTGGCAAATGCAGTCAAATGCAAGGTGATGCATACAGGACATCAACATAGGAGGAGATATAGAGGAGAGCAACAAGACCGATCCTCATTTTTAAAGGGATGTTATGAGGAATACGATTTAAACCCTTGAGCATTGACAAGAGATCTCAGAGAGAGGGGACCATATAGTTGTATAAGAACCTACTTAGGAAAGTAACAATACATTCATAACCAGGACAGCTAGACAGAAGGTCAAAGTTTGGGGTTGTGAAGGGCAATTTTAGGATGAACACCAGGAAGTATTTCTGTCTACAGGAGGGAATCAGCAGATGGGATGGGTTACCAGGAAACCTGTTGCTTGCGCTGCTGTTTTATCTTCTCACTAAAGCCTATGGTGACTACGTTAGGTGGGATACACATTACTTTTTGCACATGGTCTTTGTATAAATTCTTTGCAGTTTTTTTTTGGTTGTCTGAACTTGTACCTTGTTTTTAATTGTTAATAAAGTTATTTCCAGAACACTGCATTGAGTTTCTTGTCAATGTGGGGCAGGCTGCACCTCAGCGCCAGCTCACGTGCACATACACACTGCATCCACACACCACACACACACCACCCTCAGCAGCATTGGATGGGAACTCAGGACCTGCTCAAAGACGGATTCTACTCAGCATGTCCTCATGATCAAAGTGTAACTGCTGTAAGGGAAATGCAGAATTGCTTACTTTCCTAACCAATAGTGTAGCGTTAGACCAACGTGTCTTCTCTGTTTATGAGCCTGGCTCTGCAACCAAGCACAGCGTGGAGGATTGAGGTTTCAATTGTATGAATTATATTTGTTTCCACTGGAAGCTCTCCTCTGTCAGGCGTGATTGTGACTGACTGTGCCAGTTATATGCAGCACTGTTGGTTCATACAGAATCCTGTGGTTGATGGTGATGAAGTGTCCATGCTACTGCTCAAGCTTGGAATCCAGGGTATGTTGGTACCTGACTGCAATGGGGAATGTTTGGTGCAAATTGTACAGCACTGTCACAGTATGCTGGCTTTAAGCTGATATAATAATAATAATAATAATAATCCTTGCATTTGATATAGCGCTTTTCACGTCGGGAGGACGTCCCAAAGTGCTTCACAGAACACACTGTAAAGTGAATTGACTGTATATTTGTGGGCGAACGCGGCAGCCAATTGCGCACAGCAATGTCCCACAGACAGTCGTAGATTAAAAATGACCAATTTATTATTGTTTTTGGTTTTGGAGGGATTATTATCTAGCTTGTAGATTACTGATATAAAATGGCCATAGAAATCTCTAGAATTTCTCTGCAACAGCAGCAATGCAATATTAGCGATCTCCTACCCCAGTATGTTCCATGCACACATCTTCCATTCCTGCTTTAGGAACATCTGAATGCAGTTTGGCTCCATTGGCTCAATTGCTAATGGACTATATTTCCTTTGAAATTAAGCCTCCAAAATACTACAGGTTGTATTGCAACAACACCACCTTGCATTTATATAGGGCTCCTCATGCAGGGTAGCATCCCAGAGCACATGATAGTGGCGGAACCCGACTCTGAGCCAGGAAGAGGGGGAGCTGATCGTAGTCACGGTCGAATAGGAAGGTCTTCAGTCGTGACCTGAAAATGGGGAAGGAAGGGTCAAGGCAGAAGGATGGAGGAAGAGTGTTGCAGAGTTTCGGGGCGTAGTGGCTGAAAGAACAGAGGGCACGGGGGACACGTAGAAGGCTGGAGGCAGCGGGTTAGTGGGTAAGCAGGGGAGAGAGGTAGTGGGGTGCCAGGGCATAAAGGGATTTCAAAACGAATGTGAGGATCTTGAAATTGAATTGTTTGGTGATGCAGAGCCAGTGGAGCTTGGCTAGAACTGGTATGATGGGGGTACGGAGTTTAGCACAAGTGAGTATGCGGGCGACAGAGTTTTGGATCAGTTGGATCCCGTGTATGTTGGAGCTGGGGAGACCGGCAAAGGGCATTTGTGAAGGATAGTCGGGAGGTGACAACACACGGAAAAGTGTTTCGGGTGTGTCCAGTGTAAGGTACAGTTGGTGGCTGGCAATGTGAAGGAAGATGGTCCTGGTCAGGGACCGGATGTGGGGAGGAAGGACAGCTGTGGGTGGAACCTGCCGCCTAGGTTATGCACTGGTTTGGTAAGTCTGAGGGATAGGATATGGATGATAATTAGTGAACTGAATCAAATCTTCCTGTGAATGGAGTTCTGCTCTCCACACATCAGAGCTCAGAGCCAAGTGACTATCCTGCATTGCATTACGACGGACGGACACTGCTTGATGTGAGGCTCCTAGCAATAACGTTCATTCAATAATGGGATTCATTATACCTAACTATGTGGCATATAACCTGAGGTTTCTAAATGTGTCATTGATCTGCAGATGTACAACATTTCTTAAAAATGTTCCTGCAGTAGCACATTCCATTATATGGCAACAGTCACAGTAGCATTCGAGTGAAATGGTAACCAGTTTGGATCTCTGCTGCGCTCACAATGAGTTTGAAGAATAGAATCTCAACACTGTAAAAGAAAAGCAGCAGCCTGGCTTGTGAAATAATCGAGTCTCCATTCAGCAGTTCTGTGTCCACTGTCCTTTAAGTAATCTTGGAGTTTGCTCCACTTCCTGCTGACTGGATGATGAGGGGCCCAAAGGCATACTCCACCCTTCAGACTATCCAGACAAGTTCTTAAAACTGATATTCCACAGGTTTCCTTACTCCACACGCCTCTGTTTACCTAGCAGGAAGTAGGAATTGGCAGATCGCTTTCCAGGAGTAATAATCACTCAAAATAATAATTTGGTCACTCAATCCACAGCTGTTTGTGGGACACTGCTGTGCATAATTGGCTGCCATATTTCGCCCACAAAATACAGTCAACCACTTTGCAATATATTCTGTGAAGCGCTTTGATACATTTCAATGACAATGATGTCATTGATGACAATCATTATGTCAAATGATAGAATCATAGATTATTACAGTTTAGAAGAAGGCCATCGTGCCTGTGCTGGCTCTTTGGAAGAACTACCCGATCAATCCCACTCCCCCGCTCTTTCCCCATACTCCTGCACATTTTTCCTTTTCAAGTACCGATCTAATTCCGTTTTGAAAGTTGTTATTGAATCTGATCCAGCCACACTTTCAAAATTCTCCTAATCTCCCCTCTGGATCTTCTGCCAATTATCTTAAATCTATGGGACCTGGTTACTGACCCACCGGCCAGTGAAAGCAGTTTCTCCCTATCTACTTTGCAAATGTAAGGATTATTATTATTACTTTAATAATAAAGTATTATTTGGCTGGCTTTCTGTTCGTCCCTTGTCATTCCACTCCACCATTGGTGGCCATGCCTTCAGCCACTACGCCCCGAAACTCTGGAACTCTCTCCCTCAATCGCTCTGCCTTGCCCCCTCCCTCCCCACCTTCAAATTCTGCCTAAAGACCTTCCTTTTTGATTATGCTTACAGTCACCTCCCCCCTCCCCGGCTCGTTGTCAGACTCCTCTACTGTGACGCGCTCTTGGACGCTACACTGGGTGAAGGCGCTGTATAAGTGCAAGTTGTTGTTGTCTGGAATTTTTTCAAAATAATACTCCTTTTTCCCTGTTGCCACATGAGAACTGGTGATGTGATCAAATGCAAAATTGTATCTCTTGGAGGTACAACAATTCATGTTTGATTTTTGACATTTTAAATGAAAACTTATGATTTAACTAATTGTTACCAGGTGTTTGAGGCTACAATGGGCTTCCTGCTTCCTTAAATGTGACTTGGGAGGTGTCTGGATTCGGAGCGGAGCTGGTGTTGCACCTATGTCAGCTCCTGTTTGGCCACATTACAATAGTTTGAAGTAAGATTTTTGTAAATGGGAAAGATTTCCAGCGATCCTAGAATCCTGTAGCTCAGTGGTTAGAGAACTCGCCTTGCAAGCGAGAGGACCCGGGTTCGATTCCCAGCAGGGCAAAATTTTGGACAAGTTTCCTTACTCCACACGCCTGTTTCCCCAGCAGTAAGTAGGAACCCGGTTGTTAGTTGATTGGCAGATCACTTGTCACGGGGTAATAATTCCATAACAAATAATAATTTGGTCACTTAATCCACGACTGTTTGTGGGACGCTGCTGTGTGCAATTCGCTGCCGCGTTTTGCCCACAAAATGTACAGTCAATTCACTTTACGGTGTATCCTGTGAAGTGCTTTAAGACGTCTCGAAGATATGATAAGGCGCTGGGTCAAATGCCAGGATTATTGTTGTTATTATCAGGTGGGATTAGTGCACTTGATGCGTGTGTGTAGCTCCAGTTACTGACTGAGTTGGCAAAGTGTTCAGATGGCTCAGAGAATGTCAATTAGCCTCACTGATCAGCGTCTGTTTGTCTGTCCGTAGGTTTGGAGAAATCACGTCCCAATGTGATCCTGGGCCTGGTGATCCGGCAGCGAGGGAAGCGGCGGGAGCCGGAGCCCGAGGACAAACCTGAGGCGACTCCGAGTGAGGAGAAGCGAGGCCGCCTGGGCCCTCAGGAGGATGGTGGCAAAACAGCCAAGCCCAGCACCACACCCCCCGGCTCACCCCCCCATCCTGCGCCCAGCGGATCTGGCCCAGCCCCAGCCCCAGCCCCAGCCCCAGCCGCAACCCCAAACCCAACCCCAACCCCAGCCTCAGCCACTCCCCTGCAGCACATCCTGCAGACGCTGTTTGGCGCCAAAAAGGCAGGTGACCGAGTGACAGAGGCGACGCTCCTCGACCCCATCGTGCAGCAGTTTGGCCGAGTGCAGGAGGGGCCGCCCGTGGAGGACGACGACAACAGACCCTACGACCCCGAGGAGGAGTACAAGCCGGAGGGCGGGGCTGAGGGGGGTGTGTACGAGCCCGAGAAGGTGTATGACTTGGAGGAGGCCTACGACCCAGCGGACGAAACGATCCTGGAGGAGGTGATGGTGGCCCTGCCCCCCGGGGCGGCTCCAGCTCCAGCCCCCGACCCCCGTCACAAGCCCCCGGAGCTGTACCCTCCCCCACCCTCTCTTGTTGAGCAGCAGAAAATGCTGGAAACTTTGAACAAACAGATCGAGGAGCAAACCCGGCAGGTGGAGGAGCAGGAGGAGGCTCTGAGGCAGCAGCGAGCGGCAGTCGGTGTCTCCATGGCTTGTTTCTCAGTCTCTGACGCTCTCATGTCGCCGCCGCCCAAACCCCCCGGATTTAAAGCCGAGCTGTTCTCAGGAGCTGAGGTCTCTCAAGTGATCGACCAGCGCAGAGACCCTCGGCAGGCGGGCGCCCGGAGGGTGGGCTCGGCATCTCCTCCTGTCACCCTCACCCCCGGCCCCGAGCAATTGCAGTCCATCACTGCTCACTGCCCACAGCCCAGAGAGGAGGGGGTAGCCACCATCCCGCCTAACCTGGGAACTGAGCGGCTTCTGCTGGAGGCCCCTCAGCCCCCCCCCGTGCTGCTGCCTGAAGCCATGGCTCTGGCTGTTGGCCCAGGTGACGGGCTACCTAAGGGGCCACCACCCAAAGGCTTGTTGCCCACCCCGAACCTCCCACCCTTGTTCGCTCCCTCCTACACGGGCGGTCGCTGTACATTCCCGTCCCCTCCCCACATCAGCCCCCAGGACCATTTCCACTCTCCTAATCTGCAGATAAGAGGTAATTTCCCCAATTTTCAGCATCTCAACAGCCAGCAGTTTGCCCAGTTTGGGAGGCAGCCTTCAGACTTCATGGCCCGTGGGCCACTGCTGGCCCCTCCCCCCCTGGAGCCACCGCCACTGTTTGGCAGAGGGGGCCCCACGGCAAGGCTCCGTTTCCAAGGCCACCCCCCGGGCCCGGGCTTCCAGAACCATCCGCCGCATCCACTCGTCACTCAACCCCCTCCTCAACAAGAGGGACAGCAGTGGGCAATGACCCCTGGTTCAGCCCCCAAACCCTTGGCACAAGCGACGGAGGGAGAGACGCCAAGATCTGTCTTGTCGTATCCCCAGGCAGAGCAGCGAGACACCCCTAGAGATAACGCTGAGCCCCGGACGCAACAGCCAGCCAGACTGCCGGACCGCTCCAGCGAGCGCACAGAGCCACGATCCTCCAGCGACAGGTTCCGCAGAACATCTGACGATAGGAGGAGAGATCGAGACCGAGATTATGGGAAATCCTGGGACAGAGACCGAGAGCGGACTTGGAACCGAGAGAGAAACCGGGAGCGAGACAGAGAACGGGACAGAGACAAGGGCAAGAACAGGGAGCGCGAGCGCGATCAGGAAAGGGATCGATACAGAAGAAGAGAGCGGGACAGGTCGAGGAGCAGAGATCGTGATAAGGACCGAAACCGGGACAGAGAGAGGGACCGGGGCAGGGAGAGGGACCGGGACAGAGAGAGGGACCGGGGCAGAGGAAGGGAACGAGAACGTAGGGAGAGAAGCAGAAGTAAAGAGCCAGAGAAAGACAAACAACCAGACGTAGAGAAAGAAAGTAAAAAACTAGCCACAGGAGAGAAAGAATGTAAAAAAACAGAGGGAGAGAAAGAGATGAAGACGCCAGCGAGTGAAACTGTTGAAAGCAGCGGCTGAGCCTAAAAATACCCCTCAGACACTTTTCAAGGAAGAATGAAATATTTTAGGAACGTAATAATCTTCAAAGGATTTCAAAGATTACGTTACTTGGACCGTTAAACAAAGCTGGAAATAATAATCTAAATATTACAATATTATAATAATGTGGTCACTCAATCCACGACTGTTTGTGGAACCTGCTGTGCATAATTGGCTGCCGCGTTTCTCCCACCAAAACACAGTCACTACACTTTACAGTATACTCTGTGAAGCGCTTAGAGACGTCTCGATGACGTGATAAAGCGCTGAATCAGATGCAAGTATTATTATTTCTGTTTAGCAGATCAATTTGCAAGTTTCAAACTAAGTTCTGAGCTGAGTTTGTATTCGTGGAAACCTGGGTCGCTCCTGAGATTTAACTGTTAGTTTTCAGTGATTCATGTATTCTAATAGCGTGTAATAATAAGTCCTTTTATACAGCATGTCTATCCAGAAACCTCCATGATTTATTAGCAACGTCTCTATTACATACACAATATGGCGTCCGGTAATGGCACTTCCTTCCATCTCCCCTCGCTGTATCTGCATTCGGGTCAGTTTTTCTCGACAGGTTTGATGAGGCGGGAGTGAACCCCTCTGGCATTGAGATGGTGAATTATGAGGTTTGTTCAGCTCTGGGGTTGTTGGTATCCACTTCAAATGATCTTCCGTCACTGTTGCAGGGATTGATGTCTCCTTAGTTCTCTCTCGTTAATTCCATTTGCTTTCTGACACAGAAATGTTTTTTTGTTCCAAAACGTTCAAAATCAATTTGCGCCAATTCCAAAGATTACTTCAACGTTCACACTGTTCGTGTACATTATAATGTAACACGGGGCTGGCAATGTGGTCATGCTGTGCAGTGCCCGGTTCAGATTGACCTGGCTGCACTTCAGCTTCTGTTTCACATTCTCGCCTGCAGTTTTCCGTTTTGAATAAGTGCAGTTGGCGATTTTCACCTGAGTGTTCTAGCAGATAACAGTGCCTGTTGTCTGCTAGAATCCCATTGTATATAGAGGAACAGAATAATCCATCAATTCACTGTGTGACTGTTTCATTGCTTTCCACTCCTTACATTTTTTTATTATTCAATTTTGTAATATTCATAAATCCTTTTGCACTATACAACCATGTGCCAAGTGTGAATAGGTGATTGATAATGCACATAATTGGCACTAAAATTTCATTATTACTGTTGCTATTTGTTGTGATGCATCTCGTCATCTTGTCTCTTACCTTTTAAGAGCCTTGTAAAATCTGAAACTAAACCTGAAATTCAATAGTTCAGACAGAAAGGATTTGTAATTATCCAGGGAGAAAAAGCACGTGATTGCTATAGAGTGAATAATAGCCATCCTAATTATTTTTATAGGATTTGTAAAAGTCTGGAAATAATTTCTTGCGAATCTCTACGCACTTTTGTGTTTCTCCTGGTCAATGGTGAGGAGCTGACGTGGACACAATGAACTGATGTGACTGGACATCCTCACATTTCCCAGCAAAGTTCTGTTGTAATATAGATTTTTTACTTGATTTATACTATACTGTAAACATTTGTCCCATTAGAAAATAATTAAGATTTGTTGGTGTTTGGTAGTGCAATTTTTTTTTAAGTTTTCATTTTGCAAATCCTTTCTGTCCAGCTCCTTCGCTTTTCAGTAAACCTTGGTGTTCGTATCGATGAGAGGCACAGAGGTGATCGTTAAAAGCCGCGTCCAACTGCATTTTTAATTCTATAATATTGCTAAAACTCAAGACATTATCACTGTACATTACACAGACATTGCTGAATTTGATTTGTTTATGGGAAAAAGTGGAAATGTACAGGACAATAAAACAATGAACTAAAATATTGCCTCATACTCAGCTATTATCCACGTTTCAGATACATTTTCGTCTGTTACCAGCTGCTCTCAAACAGACATTCCGTGTGCTCCGGGTTATAACACAGCAGTGCTGCCTCTCATAAGTTCACTGCGCCAAAGCGATAACCCTTTGGTGTTTGTGTCTGTTGCCAGTTCTGGCTCTTCTGCTGATTATTGTTTTTAATACAGCAATTGAACAACATTAGAACAATTGTAATACCTTTATTATCTGCTTCACACCCTTCAGTGGCAGCTCATGTTTGCTGAAACTCCACAAGTTGTCGTGATTGGTTGCTGTGACAGTTGTTCCGTTTTGTAAGTTGGTAAAAATACTGTGAGAGGTAGATCAGGGCAATGGGGAGCAACTTCTAGCCATTGTTAGATAAACACTTGGTGCTAAATCAATAATTTATATAGATTCACCTTTCTCTTGGAAAAGCAATCGCATGGGCATTGGAGGAAATAGTCTGGAAGTTCAAACGGATGGTTGAGAGTTTTGAGATCAGATGGGCTGAAGAGCAATCTTATGATCTTGTGAAATAAAAACTGAGGCAGGAAATGAAGGAAATCTTGGTAAAGAATCAGAAGGGCTAAGAGAGACATCAACAAAATGCCAAGTTTTGCTAACTTGTTCTATTAGCTGGAATGAGCAGCCAGAGAAGTTGATACAATCAGTGTCAACGGTGAGGAGACGTTAATTGGAGATGAGCAGAATTACTTTATTTTTGTCGACATTCAGTTAAGGGAAGTTAATGGTCTTCCAGGACTTGGGGGTTTGACAGAGTCCTGGAGAATAGTGTTTCTGGAGTGGGGGTGAAGGCAGAATGTAAAGTTGAATATCATCCACGTACAAGTGAAAGTGAACCGCCAAGCCAGGATGATATCACCAAGGGGAGCATGCAGATGAGGACAATTGAGAAGTTTAATAGATTCTATGTGTAGAATTAACACCAAATGCACCAATTCTGCTTGGAAGCATCACAATTTTCACCTGTTGGTTTCATATCCTTTTTATTTGGTTAACAATTTTAAAGGAAGAGTTTAGCTGCCCAAATTGTTTTGTCTTATATAAATGCCGTGAGTTAGGAGGTAATAAGTGTTGATCAGGTTGACGAGGGATAATGCACAGAGCTTCTGCCTGGAGCCAGCAGAGCTGCCCTACAGAACACAGCTCGCAGGCCTGAAAGTACAGCTTACTTTAGTTTGTCTTTTGACAAGAGACTGCAGTCCTCGATAGAACAACATTGCGAATGGCCTGGTCATAATACATGATTTTATAGGGATTATATAAAGGGGAATATTTGTGGGGTTAAACTTCCCACTCCCCTATTAGAAACGATCTCTAGAGAGAGAGGGCCAGTCTTCCGGACGGATGTTGCTATCCACTGGCTGCCAGCAAAGGTATAGATTTCATAAAATCTTTCACCCATTCTTTAAAATATCTAGAGGAAATTTCCCAGCAGTATTCAAACAAGTGAAAAAATGAATTTCAAATCAAACAAGAAATGTGTAACATGGATTTGAGAAGTTGCTCTGTGAGGGCCAAGTCCTAAAGTTCAGTCTTCACCTGTTTGCTGAGGATTTGGTTGTAGTTTTTCTGCCGTCTTGGTTTGTATGTTAACAGTCTGGAGTATTCTGTGAGCAGCAGCTCCCAATAACAGGACACATCCTCCATGCGCAAATGGTCAGTAATGAAGCGTTGCCCCCTGAAGGAGAAACACCATCAGTGAAATATACCAGGAACTGAGAAACTACAGTAAACTGAGGATTACTCCTCACTCCAAGGGAAAAAGTGACAAGTTATCCAGAGTGGTAAGTTAGGCACAGGACCTCGCAGAAGCTTCTGGTCTCTCGGAGGGCTGTGCCGTGGCCGGCCGCCCTATCCTGTGGCAGCATCGCACAGTCACAGGCTCTGCATCGCAAAATTCCTTCCATAGGATGAGTTATCCGATCAATTTTGCACTGTAAGTGTTGTGCTACCCATTTTCCAGAGTGCGACTAGTTATGTATTAAGTGGAGTTCCTTATTAACATTTTGCATGGGAAGCCACAGGGATATTGACAGTATGGTGACTTAAGTGGTAGTGACAAGTTAATCCAGGAACGAGTTATCAGGAGTTTGCTGTAAGTGTATTTAAATAAGTCAGGTATTTGTGAAAGGATCCAACATGAAGTTGTGCTCACTCACCTCTCTGCAATCGATGCAGCAATTTTGTCATTTTCCTGCACAAACTGTAGCAGCTCTCTGCAAACACAAGCACACATCAGAGATGATAAGCGGCACAACATGAGAGAAGAGGCTGTAACATCTCCTGTGGAGCTCTCATTTCAGGTCAGTGCGCAGTTTGGCGGTCCTGTAGCTCAGTATTTAGAGCACTCGCCTCACAAGTGAGCCCTGGGTTCAATTCCCAGTGGGTGAAATGTTGGACGAGTTTCCTTACTCCACACTCCTCTGTTTCCCATCAGTAAGTAGGAACCCAGTTGTTAGTCAATTGGTGGATCACTTTTCCAGGGGTAATAATTCCTTTAAAAAAAGTAATAAATTGGTCACTCAATCCACGACCGTTTGTGGGGACGCTGCTGTGCGCAATTGGCTGCTGCGTTTCACCCACAAAATATACAGTAGATACACTTTACAATGTATCCTGTGGAGCGTTTTGAGACGCCTCAAAGACGTGATATGGCGCTGTATCAAATGCCAGGATTATTATATTTTAACTCCCATCACTTTGTGGAGTCCTTTTCAAACATTTCTGGATTAAAGATTATAAACATCTTTGCAATAGAGGCCATGTCTTACCGCACGTCAGAGAAATCCTGACTGACGGGGATGTAGTGCACCCAAGGCTTCAGCTGAGGGTAGAAGAACTCCAACCACTCATTTCCCACATGGAAAACCACGGATTTGCACAGAAAGAGATGCTTGAATCGAAAACTGGCCGCCACACCTCGGAAATTAAACAGATACCTGACCAACAAGAGCAGATAGCATGTTACCCCATTGTAAGTCCTCTACGTCCAGCTCCACCAAGAGTACAATAGGTCAAATATATTGTGATGTGTGTTCTAAGTTTTGTGTGATATCCTGACTGAAACCCACCACCTGCTCCCTTTGACCCCATCCCTTCCCCTCTCATGACCTCCCAGCTCCACCTTGATCCCCTGCTAACAGACATTTCCAACTCTCTGTTCCCATTCTTCAAAACAGCTGTCATCAACCCTCCTCCTAAGAAAAGTCTTCCCTCGTCCATCCTTGTTGCCTAAGTACATCTCCAACCTGGCTTTCCTCTCCAAGGCACTACAATGAGTCATTACTTCCCAGCTTTGCTTTTTCCTCTCCCTGCACGAGACCCTCCAATCTGGAATCTGGATGTCCAGAAGGCAACTGCCGTGGTCAAAGTTTCAAGTGACATTTTCTCCACCTGTGCCTATGGCTCTCTCTGCCACCTCTATTGTTCTCTTTTGCCTTTCCTCTCAGCTCCAGCTTCATGGATCTGTCTTCGGCTGGTTTCATTCTAACCTATCCCGACCTCTCCACTTTATATCTGCCAATGACTTCTCTTGCCCCCGCACAATCACATGTGGTATGCCTTAGTCTCCATCCTCTTTAATGTTTACATACTCCCAATCAGCAATGTCACCCACAAGCAGGTGACACCCTCGGCCCTCGATTCCAGGACAACTGCTGATGTGACCGAAGCCTGTCGGACATCAAATCAGCCACCTTTCTCCAGTTGAATGTTCACAAGACAGAGACCCTGCTTGGTCTCGTCAGGATCTTCTCACCTCAGGTGCTCGACGTGTCCTGAAGGCAGGCCAGAACCTTGGTGTCTTGTTCGACTCTCAACTGTTCCTTTAAACCTCATGTCCTTGTCCTTGGCTTTTCCCACCACCTACACAACATAACCTGCTTCTGTCATTACGTCTCCCCTCAGGCCGCTGAGATCCTTATCCACGCTTTCATTGAGTCCAAGCTTGACTATGCCAATCTTCTGCTCACTGGACTTCGCAACTCTTCCCTCCACAAGCTACTGACCTGTCAGGACTCTGCAGCTCATGTCCTCTCCCACACCAGGCTCCTCGAGCCTATCACCTCCATCCTCATCCGGCTCCATTCACTGCCCATTCCCCAGATCGATTTCAAGATCCTCGTCCTCATTTTTAAATCTTTCTACGGTCTTCCCTCACCTTTGTGACCTTCTGAAACCTACCAACCCACCTGCTCCCTTCACTCGGCGGGCACTGGCTCAACTGGAGTGCTTCACACAGCCCCCACCACTTCAGCATTGGCAGTCAGATCTTCAGCCTTTCTGCCCCTACCTTTTGGAACTCCACCCCAGAGCCTCTTTGCCTCACTCCTTCCCTTGCCTCCTTCCAAGGTCCATCTCAAGACTTTCCTCTTTGACTGAGCCTTCTCATCCCCATTGGCCCCCACCCTCCTAAATCCTTCTCGGGCTGGAAGAATGAGGCAGCAACACCCAGGCCAGTGAGGTCTGTATAACTACCTACTTATACTTGCAATGATCCACCAGTGGAATCTCTTTAGCCGGTGTCTTTCCCAGAGTATCCTGTGAACAACCAAAGTAATGATATTAATAATAATAAATCAACATCGTAAAGTCTCCAATTCTGCGCTCCCACATCACCTACATCTTAGACAGAGTAAAGCTCCCTGTTCTTTGTATTCAGATACACCTTTACCTCCTCACTGCACCAGCCACCCTGACCTCTCTGAGTGAGATCCACAATTTAATGACGTTTTGTTCCATTACTCAGGTCACTGTATCCTTCAGCCTTGTACCCAGTAACCCCTGTTCAGAGGCTGCAGGCATCAAGTAGAATTATTATAGTCAGGAGAAAGCAGAGCTTTAGCCCAGAAGCCCTGGTCCCCGCCTCACCTTCTTAGACTTCCACGCCTGGTTCTTTGTGTACTCAGCGTCCACCAGGGAAGGCTCTGCGTGGGACAGCAACACCAGTGGGTCTCGCTCTGAGCTTGTCCTGCATCAAACACACAGTCACCAACAGTCAATCAGTGAGTACGACACAGCACAACACAGAATAGCACAACAACAACTTGCATTATACAGTGCCTTCATGTGGGGTAGGGTCCAAGAGTGACGGAGTCTGACAACGAGCCGGGGGAGGGTGAGGTGACAGTAAGCACAATCAAAAAGGAAGCCTTCAAGTGGGATTTTTTGAAGGTGGGGAGGGAGAGAATTCCAGAGTTTCGGGAATGAAGACACGGTCACCGATGGTGGAGTGGAGGAGACGAGGGACATCCGCATACATGTGGAAGTTGACCTCATGTCTGGCGATGACATCGCGAAGAGGGGGCACATAGAAGAGGAAAGAAGAGGGCCAAGGAAGGAGCTTTGGGGTACCCCGCAGGTGACCAGGGGAGGTGAGAGGGAAAGCCATTTGCCGAGATGTATTGTTAATGATTAGTTAAGTAGGACTTGAACCATGCGAGTGCGGTCCCACTAAGGAGGCTGAGTGAGGAGAGGCAGTGGAGGAGAATGGTGTGATCGACTGTGTCAAACGGGGCAGAGAGGTGCATGAGGACGAGGCAGAGGGAGCCCTGGTCACAGAGAGAGAGGACGTTGTTTGTTACTTTGACGAGCGCTATCTCTGTGCTGTGGGCTGGGCAGAAACCGGACTGGAGGGGCTTGAGTCAGGAGTGGAGGGCGAGGTGTGAGCGAAGTTGACTGACAACAACATGTTCCAGGGCTTTGGCCAGGAAGGCCAGGTTTGAGATGGGACGGTAGTGCGCGAGTTGGAGGGATCGTGAGTAGGTTTCTTAAGGAAGTGAGTAACGCTGTTTTGAGTGGGAATGGGACTGAGCCTGAGGAGAGGGACTGATTTTTGGTGTCTGCAGGCAGTGGGGAGAGGAAGGGGAGTTGAGTGGGGAGGGAGTTGAGGCAGCAGGTGGTGGGTTTCATCTGGGTGATGGAGGATGAGAGGGAGGAGGGAAAGATGGGGGCAAAGGAATGTAGTTTGGGGTCCATGATAGGAGCTGTGGGAGGAGGAGTGGGTGATGGAGAGGGACATGGGTGGGGGGAGGGGGAGACACGGGGCAGGAGGAGGCAGCCATGGGAATGTTGTCTATCTTGGAAATAAAGAAATCCAAGATTTCTTTGTAGTTGCCATTAGATGTTAGGATGCTTGATGAGGTGCATGGAGGAGTTGGTGGCTGACGGGAGGACAGGATTTTGGAGTTATTTTTGGCCTCCGAAATGACGTGTGAGTAGAAAGCAGATTTGGCTTGCGAGAGGGAGCGGCAGTGGATGTGACACGGCACAGCGTCACTCAAGTTACATCTCTGTTGCTGTGTGTATTGACCATGTCTGTGATCATGTGTCCTGTGCCGAGCATGTGTAGTGTGTATGTCATGTGGTATGTGTATAATAATAACCTTCAAATTTTTAAGAGAGAACTGGATAGGTATCTGGGGAAGACGGGTTTGCAGAGTTATGGGGAGAAAGCTAGTGATTGGGGTTCGTAAAAGTGACGCTCTGTCAAAGAGCCGCACAGACTCGATGGGCCGAATGGCCTCCTTCTGTGCCGTAACATTCTATGAATCCATGAAAAAAAATTGATACTGCGCCTGATCACGTCTCTGGTCTCAAAGCACTTCACAGGATACATTGTAAAGTGTAGTGACTGTATTTTGTGGGTGAAACGATAAACATAAACAATCAATGTGGAATGAGTCTGGGAAACTTATTCCCAGGTGTCTAAACAGACCGCTCAGTCACTCACACTCTTGGTTCTGGGTAAGAGTTTCTGTTCTCAAGACCCACATTAGTTGTTGTCCAGGCCTAACTTCAGCACAATACTGGGGGAAGAATTGGAAAGGCTGACAAGCAGGGTGTTGGCATTGTTAAACATGGATGAGGAAAATAATCAGTTCCTAACTGTAAATTGGTCACTCACCTCGATCCTCTAAAAAACCCTTTGGAAATTTTCTTGTCCCACGGCCACTTTTCAGCAGATCTAGTGGAGAGAAAACAGAGATGGGATGTACATTGTGCCAATAGGTGCACTGGATCAACAACAACACATTACATTTATTGTTAGCCTTTCATGTCAAACATACAGTACATATTATATATCAGACAGCAAAACACATATAGCACGGGACAGAGCTTCAGTAGCTGTTGAGGGGGGCACATGTGAAAGCAAATGCCTTCTCAACATTGCCCCCATCGCCAGTCTTCACAATCTATCCTGTCAATCACTCAGTCGGTTGGGGAGGGTGGGGGTAAGAGAAAAGGATTCATAGGTCACACTCTAAGATTAGGAGGTCATTGATGATCTGCTTTTAATTTGCCACGGTCGCCCCAACTATCAACCCCTCCCTACCACAAACCCACACTCTGACAATTACCTCCTTCCACACCTTTGAACCTGTCAACCCCTCTTCTGTCTTCACCACCACATCCTCCATGAAGCCCACCACCTGCTCCCTGGACCCCATCCCCACTCCTTTCCTTAAATCCCGGCTCCACCTCCTTGCCTCACTACTCGCCGACATCAACCACCTCTCCCTGTCATCTGACACTGTTCCTTCCCCCCCAAAACAGCCATTATCACCCCCACTCTGAAGAAACCTTCCCTTGACCCATCACAGCTATCTAGCTCCCAGCCCATCTTCCTATCCAAGGTCCTTGAGAGCCGTTGCCTCCCAGCTTCGCTCTTTCCTCTCCTCTCACTCCCTCTGTGAACCCCTCCAATCGGGTTTCTGTGCTGCCCACAGCACGGTAACTGCTCAGGTTAAGGTCACAAACGACATCCTGACCATGTGTGACCAGGGCTCCCTCTGCCTCCTCGTCCTCCTCGAACTCTCCACCGCCTTTGACACCGTGGACCATTCAATCCTTCTCCACCACCTCTGCTCCCACCTCAACCTTCAAGGTTCTGTCCTTGACTGGTTCAGGTCCTACCTTTCACATCGCCTTCACTTCGTCGCAGCAAACGGCTTCTCGTCCAGCCCCCGCACCGTCTTGTGCAGTGTTCCTCAGGGCTCTATCCTCGGTCCCTGTGGAAAGTCCTACGTGCTCCCCCTTGGTGACATCATCCACAGACATGGGGTAAATTTCCACATGTATGCGGATGACACCCAACTCTACTTCTCTGCCTCCACCCTCAACTCCAGGACTGCTGGTGTCCTGACCGACTGCCTGTCCGACATCAAGTCCTGGACGAGGGACAACTTTCTCCAACTCAACATCAGCAAGACCGAGGCCCTCCTGATTGGCTCACGCCAGCGCCTCCGCATCAGCCTCCATGGCTGCACACTCAACCTCACTAAGCCAGTCAGGAACCTGGGGGTCTTTTTTGACCCTGAACTGTCCTTTCTCCCCCATGACTGGCACTGCCTACCACCACCTCCAACATTGCCAGACTCCGCCACTGCCTCACCCCTCAGGCTGCCGAAACCCTCACCCACGCATTTGTCACATCAAGGCTCGATTACGGAAACTCCCTCCTCATCGGCCTTCCCAACTCTTCCCTTCACAATCTGCAGATCATCCAAAACTCTGCAGCTCGTGTACTCTCACTCACCAGGCTCTGTGACCCCATCACTCCCACCCTCGCCAAACTCCAGTGCCTCCTACTCCCCCAGAGGATCGAGTTCAAGATCCTCGTCCTCACTTCCAAGGCCATCCATGGCCTTACCCATTCCTACCTCTCTGACTTGCTGACTCCCTACCAACCTGCCCGCTCCCTCCGCTCGGTGGGCTACGCTCTGCTCCATGTCTCCCACCCGACCCGCCCTACCATCGGTGGCCGGGCTTTCACCCTCTCTGCCCCCACACTCTGGAACTCCATCCGACCGTTCCTTCGCCTCACTTCCTCCCTCGCCTCCTTCAAGGCCGGTCTCAAGACCCTCCTCTTTGATCGTGCCTTTGGTCTCCCTCCCACCTCAATGCCTTCCCTCTCCCCTACCCTGCCCCTCCCCCTACCCCACCCGTCCCTCATGCTCAGGTCCTGACACCTGATTGTCCACCACTTTGGGACATCCTCCTGACGTGAAAGGCGCTCTATAAATGTAATTTTGTTGTTGTTGCTGCTTTTAGAGTTAATTCAATGCTGATGATTTCACTCACAATTGTAATTCTTTCCTCATGAGGTCCCAGCGCCCGAGGCCAGTGGGGTAAATGGGCCAGACAGCCGGCCCCCCCTCCCAGAATGTCCACGCTGGATACATGATGTCATGGTAATCAGCATTCTGTGTGACAAAGACAGATGTTTATAGTCAACAAAAATCACACGTCAGTTCAGGAATTGGAAAAGGCTACTGAGTGACATCCCACTCCCAACTCCCTTCTCACTGAGACTCCTCCCCTTCTCACTGAGACTCCTCCCCTTCTCACGGAGACTCCTCCCCTTCTCACGGAGACTCCTCCCCTTCTCACTGAGACTCCTCCCCTTCTCACGACACTCCTCCCCTTCTCACTGACACTCCTCCCCTTCTCACTGACACTCCTCCCCTTCTCACCGACACTCCTCCCCTTCTCACGACACTCCTCCACTTCTCACTGACACTTTTCCCCTTCTCACTGACACTCCTCCCCTTCTCACGACACTCCTCCTCTTCTCACTGACACTCCTCCCCTTCTCACTGACACTCCTCCCCTTCTCACGACACTCCTCCTCTTCTCACTGACACTCCTCCCCTTCTCACGACACTCCTCCACTTCTCACTGACACTCCTCCCCTTCTCACTGACACTCCTCCCCTTCTCACTGACACTCCTCCCCTTCTCACGACACTCCTCCTCTTCTCACTGACACTCCTCCCCTTCTCACTCGTCCTCTGTCCCAATATCACCAATCACCAACATCACTTTCACCAGTGAAAGTGCAGTCACTTGTACAGGTTGTGGGCCTGAAATCCGCTCAGTGCCATTGACCTTACCTTGCTGAATGAAAAAACGGGTCTGGTGGTCTGCACCCACCCTGGGACCTGAGGGTAGTCTCTCACATTCAGCACAAATTCCATGTCAGGAAGTTTGGAGATTATGTCCAGGATGAAGTGCTCGACTCCACTGCATCTAAAGCAGAACAGAATTGGAACCACGAGGCGTTTGGAGCAGCCAACAGCCAAAGCTACTGAAGAATCCAAGAATACAATACAAAGGAGTGTAGCAACATGTCCTTGGTTAAAAGGGAAATTGACTAAACAACAACTTGCATTTATATAAGCGCCCTTCATGCAGGGTTGTGTATTGAGCACTTAAAACACTATTATGGCATAATGCCCTTTAATAGCTGCCTATTAAAATGCCTCTTGCACACTATTCCATCCAAATTCTACTCAAATTCTCAAACCATCCACATTTTGATAAACACGTCCAGGGAATTTTCAGATGTGGATTTGATGATGCACCCCCCATCCCACCCCCCCCCCACCCCACTCTGGCTCTCAAGCAGCAGTGTAAAAGGATTTGAGATGTCCTCCCAAGGTAAAAGACAATGTGTAAATGTGAATTGTTGCGATTTACAGAATAGATTTGAAGAAACCAATATGATGGGTTTATAAGTAGTTTTGTGGAATGTTAGAGACAGTTAGTAGCACAGAGACTGTAAAGGTTGTAAGAGTTACAGAAGCCAAGAGCAGTGAGCTGTGGAATTTAAATCCAACACAACTTTCTACAGGTTCAGCATTTGTGTCAGTCCCAAATTAGCCCCAAGTGACTGACAGCATGAGCTGGGCTGTGCTCGAGCCCCTCTCACCTGGCTGGGAACATACAATCCTCTTGACGATACAACTGTTTGTTTATGATCTGGTAGTGAGTCCCCACACCTCGACTGACAGTCTCCATCAGCATCTCCTGAGAAATTCCTTGCCTAAAGTGTGCAAGGTCATTGTCCAGCACACTGAACAAGAGAAAAACATCAAAAGGACGTGAGTCAAACCCAGGGAGCAGGGCTACTTATCCCAATACCCGGAGCTGGCTTTACCATCTCCATAGTGACAATCCGTGGTCAAAGTCCCAAATTGTCGTGGTTACACACAACCACCCACAATTATAAGCATCAATGTGATGCGAGGCCACAGGCAGATTATTCTCATGACAGTCTGGTAACAGTGATCAGAGAACAATACTTTGAAACAGAACACAATGTTATTATTATCTGCTGTAGTGTTGCACTGATATAGATCAGCGAATTAAGCAATGCATTAACTGCTCTGATGCTGTGCTTCTGTATCAGACACATGATGATCTTATAAAACCAGTTTACCGCCGGTGACAGCTGCAGTTGTGCTGGAAACAGGGTTGATACAATTCCAGCGCTACTGTGATCTTGTCCTTGTATTTCTGCCATTTTCCATCTAAAGAGAAAGAGAAGGTTTGGTGCACTTTCAGGTAACCCAGAATTCAATTTCCAAATACTCAATGAATCCATTTACACTCTACTCTCATTTGCTAACAGATTGGCCAGTGATTTATTGCACTGTAACAAGTGTGCAGTTTAACGCAGTGGCAGCTGCCTTTTGCGGAACTCCAGTGTACTGCTGTGGAGGAGAATATGTTTTTTTCTGTTACTAAAGTCAGATGTCTCCCTTTTCAAAGCAGCTTTAAATTTACTAGAACTTCCATCTCTCGATTGTACGTTTGTCTTGCTTCATGAAGTATAAGAGTTTGCATGGGGAGGAAGGAATATCCCACAATATAATTTATTTTGAAAGACAGCATTGAAATGCTCAATGAATCTGCAGCAATTTGTGGATAATCAGGTAAGAGCCTTATAAAATATAGTGAAGGCTTCATATTGTACAAGGTTCAATGTGGCTAACTCTATGATAACTTGTGTGAGAGCTAAGAACTAAACTTGGATGATTATATAATGAAATCAATCGTACAGCTGAGAAATGTCTGACACTAATGTCTTGATGCAGTTCACAGTTACTGTCCAGCTTTGTCATGACTGCTGTTGTTGGCAAATGTGGCAGCTATTTTACACACCGTAAATTCTCCCACATCTATTAGGTGATTATAATAATAGTAATCCCTGCGCCTTATCACATCATCGAGAGTCTCAAAGAGCTTCACAGAATATACTGTAAAGTGAAGTGACTTTATTTTGTGGGCGAAACACATCAGCCAATTGCGCACAGCAGTGTCCCACAAACAGTTGTGGATTGAGTGACCAATTTATTTTTATTTATTTCGAAGGAATTATTACTCCCGGAAAAGTGATCAACCAATCGACTAACAACCGGGTTCCTACTTACTGCTGAGTAAACAGAGCTGTGTGGAATAAGGACACTCGCCCAACGTTTCACCCACTGGGAATCAAACCCAGTCTCTCACTCGCGAGGCACTGATGTACAGGACTCCACAACTGAACCTGAGGACCGGTGCCCGACACACACCGACACACACCGACACACACCGGGACACACCGGGACCTGTTCTGATCTCCAGCCCCGGCCCCGCAGACAGGAACCGAGTTCAGTGTGTGATGTGAAGGACAGCGCTGCTCTGGGGCAGCGGCTCGGGCTGAGAGCTCACGGCGTGTACTCTAATGTTACAGGTGTTCCCGTTGATGCTCAGGATCGCTGTATATTATTATTATATATTATTTCAAACTAAATCGCTGTGTGAGCTGCAGATTCAGGGTGTGAGCCACAGGGGGCGCTGTCCGCCCGCAGGGTGTCTGCTGACGGTGGGGGAAGCCCCGGGACCCGGTGTTACTGCAGCGGGAGCTGTGAGGGCGGGACCCCGAGCAGCTGCCGAGCGCCGTGTGCGGTTCCCACCTTTTGTTGTTCCCGATCCGCCGCTCGCGATCGCACTCAACAGCAGCGCCGCCGCCAACCGCCATCCCCCGAGCATCGCGCCTGCGCAGAGCAGCCGCCGCCCCCTGCAGTGCGCCTGCGCAGAGCCGCCCGCCCCTCAGTGCGCCTGCGCAATCCATAGCTCCACACTCCACTCACCGCCCCGCGCGGGGTCAGGGCTACTGCGCAGGTGCGGAGCGGCTCTCAGGTCACAGGAAAATCACAACAAATATTAAAATATCAACAAACACTTAATATATATACACAGTACTGAGACTGGAGATTGTGAACAGTCCAAAGTCAAAGGAAAACACGTCATCCGTGTCTGACGCATGTGCTCAACTCTCCAAACCAATTCCCACCTCTGACCCACACAAACCCCAGAGACGTTGCTGGGACGGGACGGGACGCTCGCCCTCCCCCCCTCCCCCCGCGGGGAGCCATCCCGCTTATCTAATTCCGGAAAGCACTCGGGCGCAGGTTGGGAGAGAGAGAAAAAGAAAAGATGATGCAACTATCCAGGAAGAGATTTTATTATTAAAACTAGTATTTCTAAACCCGGAGCAGTCTGCACATGCTCAAATATTTTTTGTATTAAAAACCACAATTAAGAGCAATTCAACAACTTCTATTTATATGGCACAAATATAGGATGTTTCAGACCATTTCACAACAAACGATCTGAATGCCGGGGAGAGGGGAAAGGGAGGATGTAGGCACTGCTGAAGAGATGGGTTTCTAGGCAGGATTTCAAATAGATAGAAAGGGGTGAGACAGAGGGAAGTCAGAAGTAGTTCCAACGGTGAGGGGTGTAATAGCTGAAGGCCATTAACTGAGACTTAAGAGGAGCAAGGAATGTGCAGCAGCCCAAGCTGGCCGAGTGATGGGGGCAGAGCAGTGGGTAAGAGAACATCAAAGTTAGGGAGGGCATCAAGGGATTTACTGTGGGTGCAGTCCTCAAAGTCAATTGGTACAGAGCTATAGAACTATAGAAAGCCACTCAGCCCATCGTATCTGTGCTGCGCCCTCAGGGCAGTGGAGCTGGAGGACTCAGGTGATGGTTACGCTGCATTGACCCTTGATTCACTTTTTACAGAGTAACTCATTGTCTTATTTGTGCAAATTTATAAATCCACTAAAAAGAGAAACTTTCTTCTCTGGTTTGATAATCTTTTTCTAACTGATTGTAATTGCATTTTATAGCTTCTGCTACCTATTGCCCATGTTAAAGAACAATCTTTATGAATTGCTGGAACAAGAATGGTGAATCACAGTTTCAATATTGGGCTGTGCCAGGATGCAAATCTTTGGCTGCAACTCTTCACAAGGCCAGATCCCAATCCCAGGCTTTCTGGGATCCCAATCCCACACTTGCTCCACCCCCCTACCTCTCCAACCTCCTAACCCCCTACCACCGTTTGCTCCTTCCGCTTAGGGGGCTCCGGCCTGTTTCACGACTCCCACTAATGGCGGGGCGGGCCTTCTGCCACTCCACACCCACCCTCTGGAACTCCATCCTAGTCACTCCATCTCGCCCCCTCCCTTGCCTCCTTCAAGACCCACCTCAAGACCCTCCTCTTCGACCGTGCTTTTGATCTCCCTGCTTTCCCCCCTTGCCCTCCACCCTCCCCCACCCCGACCCCCAGTTCGAGTCCGTAACTCTGTCTGTCCAGTGCCTTGGACGTCCTCCCGATGTGAAAGGCACTATACAAATGTAATTTTGTTGTTTCTGTCACACTGACCGAGTCGTGATCCATCTGGTGTGGCCAAAAGCTGAGCAGCAATGAAGCAGGGCTTCAGCCCAGCCCAAGGTGAGAGTGATTTGTTGGAACTATTACTTATATTCTATTATAAAATTTACACCAATCAACCTTTTCCAATACATCACTACACCATGCTAGCGATAGAAACAAGTTTGGCTGACTCATAAATGTCTAAATATGAATCAAACATTTGTAGTCTTATAAAATCCAGATGTAGCCTCCTCCTCTGGGCCAGCATTGCTATTTGCCCCAATAGCAGTTGATTGGACAGATATTTACCAGAATCTTTCCTTCATTTACAATTTGACAATTTTTTTTTCGGTCCACCTGATTTTCTGTCCATTGGTTACTCAGGATTTTTGGGACGATTTAATAATTCTTCTATTTTCTCCAAATCCTTTTCCATTCGACCTTTTTCAATCGTCTGATCAATTTCTTGGATCAATCCTTCTGTCACATTGAGCCTGGCATCCCTGTGGGAAAGCGACAAACCACCATCACAACAGGAACAGTCAAGCCTGCTTTGTATTAAATCTGTGGCAACTCTTTAATGCCAATTCCCTACTTTTTCTCCCTAATAATCACTTACAAAGCAAATAAATATCCATTTCTTTCTTGGTGACTCTGTGTGTAAAGAATGTGTTTCTGGATTTCCAGTCAGGTCCACTTGCCTGGTCAAGGCATCGCTTCATTTACCTTTCATTATTGTGAACTGAACCAGATCACCCCGTCAACCACCCAAACTCCTACTAATATAACCAGTTTACTCAGTCTCTCAATCTAGAGATTACTTGTGGCAGGCAAACACCAAGAGCCTACCATTCTTGCACTTTGAGCTGGTACAGCTCTCTCTGCTCCCTGCGCCTTTGCGGTTGGGGTAGGGTTGGGGTTGGGGTAGGGTTGGGGTTGGGGTAGGGTTGGGGAGGGTAGGGTTGGGGTAGGGCTGGGGTTGGGGTAGGGTGGGGTTGGGGTAGGGTGGGTGGGGGTAGGGGGGGTTGGGGTAGGGTGGGGTTGGGGTAGGGTTGGGGTAGGGTTGGGTTGGGGTAGGGTTGGGGCAGGGTTGGGGTTGGGGTAGGGTTGTTGGGTAGGGGGGTTGGGGTTGGGGGGCAGGGTTGGGGTTGGGGGCAGGGTTGGGTGTTGGGTAGGGTTGGGGTTGGGGTAGGGCTGGGGTTGGGGTAGGGTTGGGGTTGGGGTAGGGTTGGGGTTGGGGTAGGGTTGGGGTAGGGCTGGGGTTGGGGTAGGGTTGGGGTTGGGGTTGGGGTTGTGGTAGGGTTGGGGTAGGGTTGGGGTAGGGCTGGGGTTGGGGTAGGGCTGGGGTTGGGGTATGGCTGGGGTTGGGGTGGGGTTGGGGTTGGGTGGGTTGGGGTTGGGTTAGGGTTGGGGTAGGGCTGGGGTTGGGGTAGGGCTGGGTTGGGGTATGGCTGGGGTTGGGGTGTTGGGGTAGGGTTGGGGTGGTTGGGGTGGGGTTGGGGTGGAGGGTTGGGGTTGGGCAGGGTTGGGGTTGGGGTTGGGGTAGGGTTGGGGTAGGGTTGGGGTTGGGGCAGGGTTGGGGTTGGGTTGGGGTAGGGTTGGGGTTGGGGGCAGGGTTGGGGTTGGGGGCAGGGTTGGGGGTCGGAGTTGAGGCTCGGAACTGCTCTCCTTTTGGGGCTCGGACGTTTGAGGACTTCCCTGTAATATTTCTCCGGGAGCTGAGCTTCTGTCGGGAGAGCTGTGTCCAACACCTTGGGATATCCTCCCGACATGAAAGGCACTGCAGTAATATAAAGATGCATTGGCGTGACTCCGTCCCCTCCTCGCTGGTCTGTTGCACTGTGAGTGTGTGGGGGTTATTTGCTGGTGATTTCTCACTGGTTTCTCTTACCTTGATAGACATTATTGAAGATGGCTGAAGAGGATGATAAGCGAGAGGCAGGAGGCAGTAACATCAGGTTGGTTCGGTATCTCTTCATGCTCCAGAGATGTCTGCCTCTCCATCACCTCGGACATCTCCATCTCCCGCGTGTGTTGGCAGCTGGTGACTTGGGGCTGGAGGCTGAGCAGCTGGAGAAGCGCTTTCTGCCCAAACACATCACAAATCTTCAGGTGTCAGAAAGCGGTTGGGACCGAATCCGGGAGCTGTTTGACCAAGAGTGAGTCGTGGTTTGATTCCATTCTGTGGGCGGAGCTTGTCACAATGTAATTCTGTGTTACTGAACAGAAGTTTTTGGAAAAAGATTGTAGGCAGCGTGAGTTACGCAGTTTGTATTCAAATGAAAAACATAGTTTTGAGAACAAATTCTGCCCCTAAGTGTATCTGAGGTTAGCCTTTGCCGGGCATTACCTGCTCTGTACACCTGCAATTCACATCTCGCTGTTTGTGGCTGCAGATTTCTTACTCACTGGGCCTTGTGTTGGCTGAGCTGCGTGTGGGGTACCTAAGAACATAAGAACATAAGAACATAAGAATTAGGAGCAGGAGTCGGCCATTCGGCCACTCGAGCCCTGCCCCGCCATTCGATAAGATCATGGCTGATCTTCTGACCTAACTCTAATTACCTGCCCTCTCCCCATATCCCCTAATCCCTCTCTCAGTCTCAGCCTTGAAGATGTTCAAGGACTGAGCATCTACAGCTCTTCTGGGGTAGTGAATTCCATAAATTCACTGCCCTCTGAGTGAACAAATGTTTCCTCAACTCTGTTCTAAAAGGCTGACCCTTAATTTTCAGACTGTGACCCCTTGTTATAGATTCTCCTCCCGGGGAAACAGACCCTCAGTGTCTACTTTATCAGCCCTTTAGGAATCTCACCGGGGCCCTATACAGTTGCAGCAAGACTTCCCTACTCCTGTACTCTAAACCTTTAGCAATGAACGCTAACATGCCATTCGCCTTCTTAGTTGCTGCTGCACCTGCAAACTAACTTTTTGAGACTGGTGTACAAGGACACCCTCTGCACACTAACACTATCTAATCTCTCCCCCTCTAGAAAATAATCTGTTTTTCTATTTTTTCTACCTTGGTGAATAGCTTCACACTCCCCCACATTAAATTCCATCTGCCACCTACTCGCCCACTCCCCTCGCCCACCTATATACCGTTGCAATCTTTTTGCATCATCCTCAGAGCTTACTCTCCCACCGAGTTTAGTGTCATCCGTGAATTTAGTTACGTTACATTCAATGTCCTCGTCGAGATCATTGATGTAAATTGTAAATAGTTGAGGCCCAGCACTGATCCTTGTGGCACTCCATTAGTCACATCCTGCCAATGCGAGAATGTCCTCTGAGGGTACGTGGGGCTATGGGAGACATGTCACTAAGCCGTGTCCCAGCTGTGCCTGGCCTCAGTGCCTGTACTTTGTTCACAGGCGGATGCAAAGCTATCCTGAGGAACTAATGAACATCTGGAAGGGGGCATTGATGGCTGGGAGTGTGGGGCTGGTGTACGGGGGCATTCCTGCTGCTCAGCACGCTAGGAAACGCTACATCGAGCTGAGCCAGGCTGAAGTGTACAAACATCGCATTGAAGCTGTGGTGAGTTCATTGGCTTTGTAGCAGCATTGTGTGCTTGCTTGTACTTTATGACAAGTGTTGGAAAGCGAGGACTAGTGTAACGGTTTAAATCGTTGCTGTGTCTCGTCTCAGTGCTCTGTTGTGAAGGCTGCTGAAAGCGATGGTGAATCGTACACTCAGTGAGGGGAAGACAGACCCTCATGTTGTTGGGAGGGAGGGGAGGGGGGTGATCGTGGCAGCAGGAAGAGAGATGCACTGTTGCGCACACCCTGTCTCACTCCCTCCCTCTTGCTCCCTCACAGCGCTCAGCACATAATGCCGCCATCCGTGGCTTTATCCGGTACGGCTGGCGGTGGAGCTGGAGAGTGACAGCCTTTGTGACAGTATTCAAGTAAGTGACCGTTCGAGCTCCATGTGATTTCAGTGAATAATCAGGTAACCAGGTAATAGGTAACGGGTAACTGGAGAACAGGCTCACAGGTAACCAGGTAACCAGGGAAAGACCAAAGATCAGGCCTTCAATGTGTAGCCAGTTGGTAGCATTCTTGCCTCTGAATTAGAAGGTTGTGGGTTCAAGTCACATGTCAGTGACTTTGAACTTGTATAGTCTCAGCTAACGCCTCAGTGCAGGCCTGGGGTAGCCCTGCATTGTCAGGTGCCATCCTTCAACTGAGATGTTAAACCTGGGTCCTGTCTGTGCCTGTTCAGGCAGATGTGAAAATCCCATTGCACTGCTCATGTCACTACATTTTATAGTAAATTCTGTGAAGTGTTTTGAGGTGTCCTTCTTCTGTCACGTACCGAACAAAAGGATTATTATATTATTTAGAAGCACAGAAACAGACCATTCAGCCCATCATTTATGAACTAGTATTTTTCCCTATCTGAAAATACCACCCAGCCTAATCCCCTCCAACACACACACATTAAATAATAATAATAATCCTTGCATTTGATATAGAGCTTTTCACTTCTTCTTGACGTCTCAAAGCGCTTCACAGAAGAGAATAGAATAGAATAGAATAGAATAGACTGTAAAGTGAATTTGTGAATAAAATTCCTCCTCATCAAGCATCTAATTCTTGTAACAATAGTTGCTAAAATAGATCCTGGTTCAACTACAGTTGGGGGCAGAGAATTCTGAATTTTAACCATTGCAAGTTTTCAGTGTTAATGCATTTTTCTCCTCTTGAACAGCATTGTGAGCACAGGCCTGTCCGTGTATCGAGACCAGAATATCCTCACACATTACTCTGTGGCTGGTGGTAAGATCCCTTCTATATTGAATCCTGTACTGCAAGGGCATGTGTAATTTACTCATAGTAACAGCAGGTCTGGTGTTAGTGGTGTTTGGGTGTGGTACAGTGGTAATAAAAATAATAATAATCCTTGCATTTGATATAGCGCTTTTCACGTCGGGAGGACGTCCTAAAGCGCTTCACAGAACACACTGTAAAGTGAATTGACTGTATATTTGTGGGCGAACGCAGCAGCCAATTGCGCACAGCAATGCCCCACAAACAGTCGTAGATTGAAAATGACCAATTTATTATTATTTTGGTTTTGGAGGGATTATTATTAGGTTCTGTGTGGAGTAAGGAAACTTGCCCAAGGTTTCGCCCTGACCTGCCGGGGATTGAACTCGGGTCTCTCACTTGCAAAGCGAGTGCTCTAACCACTGAGCTACAGGACTCCAGAGGAAACCAGTTGTCTCCCAATGCTTCCCACCATGTGCTGAGTTCCTAATCTCAGCTGCGTGTGACAGTGCTGATTTGGTGTTTGAACTCACTTCCCAGTGGTTGGTTTAGGCCTTGTGTAGTCAGCATCTGCTGGTACACTGCACAGCAACAGGAGGCTAATGTAATCAATTCTGTGGGGGAAGTGGGTACCAATGGTGCAGCTGTAGGTGAGAGTGAGGTGCAATGGTTAGACTGCGGCTGCTCTCCTCGGGGCCTTGTCCACACCAGGGTCTAGAATGTTACATTTCCTTTTATTTCAATCACTTTAAAAAGTGCTTGATCATTGCAACTTTCAATGTGAAAGATTCTTGTTTTTCAGCAATTACGGGTGGATTGTTCCGGTTGAATCTTGGCGTGGGTGGAGGTTTGGCCGGCATGGTGATCGGGGCAGTGTTGGGGTGAGTTCCTGGTGAGCGGTTCCTGCCGTGTAGGTGAGAGATTAATCCTACAATCATCCCTCACTCACTCGTGGCCTCTCACATAACAATCTGAAGATGTCGGAGCCAATAACCAAGCAGCGACTGATGACACCGTGTCACCCGTTTGTCACAGGTTCTGTGCGGGACTGTATTTCATCATCAATGTTGCTGACGTCTGTTTTGGAATCTGACTTGGCCCCTGGCTTGTGTTGCAGGTTACCCACTGGGGCCTTGCTGATGTCGATGCAAAAAGCTAATGGAGAGACTGTGCGGGA